GCTGCAGGAAAGTGGGTAAGACTAGTATTTCCACATTTTTTCCTATATCTGGGGTAAAGGGGGAGGTAAAGGGAGAAGCCCACCCAGTCTCCCACCCATCCCAGGTCCCTGATGTGGGGCATGCTCAGAGGGTCTTGCTCAAGTGGTTTTGATAGTTTACCAGTTATGAATTGCTGCCGACCTCACCATTCCAAGCACAATGAGGTCACTGAAGAATCCTCTGATTGACATAGTCCATCATAGAGTCTCCATTTGCCCAGTTATTCATTGCCAACATATGGCTGGGGTAGTTAATTGATTTGTTCTGTCCTCTGTCTTTTCATGGTTAAGGTTCTGAGTTTGGCAATTTGATTGGGGGCATCCCTAAACAAACTTTGTCTGAGGTGAACCCAGACCAGATTCTCACATGTACTTGCCAGTCCAGGGCCGGTATAGTCCATCGCCCCCATCAGCAGGTGGTTGCAATTGCTGGGTCGGTTCTGTTTCCAGCCCTGTCTTCACATGGACCTATTTTGACCCATACAATGCCAAAGTCAGTAGTATTTTTACTGTGGGACCAGTACAATGCACTGATCTCAATGAGTTCTCTCCAAGCTCAGCCCATGCACAGCTCACTGTTGTCCCTGCAGTCTTAAAGCCTGTGCCACACCGTACAAAATGGCAGCTGATGTGCCACTGCTGGAGCTCTTGATCTGCTAGCCGTCAGGTTTTAGGGCTACTTGGACCTGTTTCGGGGGGAACCTGTAGGATGCCACATTGTTACAGTTCACTGAGCTGCTGGAGTCAAGCTCCAGCTGAGTTCGGAACTCGTAAAGGGTGTGTGGATGAAGCGCAAAGAGGAAAGAAAGAGGAACCGCTAGGATTTCATGACCATAATGGACAATGTGGGAAGGCTGTCTGCTTTATTTATACAAAATCAGTCAAACTCTGGCTCAGACTTTTTACATCATGGTCAAGTTGTGAATTTCTAAGGATAATTCTGCCATTAGCTTTACCTAGAAACAACAGAAGTTCCTGCTACAATTCTTATCCTACAACTCAATCTTGATTGTATCACAAAGAAAAGGGGAACCTAAAGATCAAGGAAAGAATGAAAGCCTAAATACAGGTCCCTTGATTAGCATAAGGCCAATGGGGACAGCCAAGGCAGTAGGAATAATAGAAGGCCCTTTTACAAGACGTTATTATTGACATTAACCTCCAAGCTCACATTGAGTAAAAGGCCAACCTCACAGTAGCAAACAATGCCTGGATGGATTAGGGTTCTTCCGCAGGGTGGTCCAGTGTCCATGCAAAAGAAGGTGGAGATGCATTCAGGTGATTGTAGAGATGGGGGGGGGGCGGCAAACAGGGGAAGTTCCTTGCGGCCCTGCCTGCAATGCAACAACACTCTTCACACCTTCGTGTCCCCCACATCCACTGCACGGACCCCCAACACTGAGCCATAAATGAGTTCACTCTCAGTTCAGTGAATGCTCAGTCCTGTCCCATAGTATTTGCCTCCTTAAACAAATGGTGCCCGATTTGGCTTTAGGGGGCAGACTGGGTTGTAAAATCCTCCCTGTTCCCACACTGCTCATCTGGGACCTGCTGCTCTGTCTGTGCTGCTGGCCAAATCAAACAGATCAGCAGGACAGGCAGGTCTTCGGGTTCAGCTCCGGAGCTCCTGGTAAAGGTCCCTTCCCACCTTGTTGCCGGTGTTCTGGCTGCTGCTGCAATTTGAACTGCCACTGACTAATGCCGCTGGGTCATTGCAACACCACATGTTGTGTCTGCTGCTTTCCTATGTTTGTCATTTCTGGAGCCCCTTGCTGTTGTTCTGTCTTCTCCTGTTTCCTGGAATGTGCCCTCTCTGCTGGCTATTGTTTCTCCATCTGTTTAAACGTGTCCTTACCCTATTCCTCAAAGGCTTTTTAACCATGGGATCGCTGTCCATATTCAGCATGTGAGAAACTTACAAGAACAAATCTGACATATTTCTTTAAAGGTTTATTTTTTTGGAAAGGCAGATCAGATTTATGAAGAGAAAGAGAGACAAACAACTTTCACTTGCTGATTCACTTCCCAAGTAACTGTAATGGGCAGAGCTAAGCTGATCCATAGCAGCCAGGAGCTTCTTCCAGATCTCCCACATGTGTGCAGGATCCCCAGGCTTTGGGCTATCTTCTGCTGCTTTCCCAGATCACAAACAGGGAACCGGTCGGGAAGTGGAGCAGCTAGGATACAGACCAGCTCCCACATGTGAGCCTGATGCTGCAACAGGGACAATTACCACTGAGTCATCACACGGAGCCTGGATTGTATCTTACAAGATGATGTAAGTCCTGTGCCAGATGCCTGCCCCCTAAAGATGATATTTTTGAGAGTTGGTAAAAGATCGGTTTTATTTTACTTTGTGTAGCTCTATAATATCTGCCTTAACAGAAGACAGTCAGGCCTCACACGACGGTGTGTTCAATCTGTTTTGTTGTTTGGAATGCAATAAATGAGGGACACCTAATCTGTCGCAGATAAAGAGGCAAAACCATTTTCACAGCTTTTCTAGATTTCTTTTGAGGAATGACTCGAAATATTGCCCTGGGAGATTGATGAGACCCTGCCATTTTAAATGCGGTGCCACCTTAAACACCTGCTTCCCCTAGGTCTGCATCCCGGTAAAGCCCCCTTGTGTAAGCTTCGCACCCTTTCAATCCACCGTACTTCACGACACCACGCCCGACATGTCCCTATTCACTAATCGCCTGCAGTAACCACCCCTGCTATCTGCTTCTACCACACTTGTGGATTCCACACTGCCACACCTACCTCTGTGCCATAGTGCCTTCCCATTGTTCTGCTCTTCCGTCTCCTTTGTTCTCACTCCCCTCTCTGCTTTCTCTCTTCCTGCTGAAATAAAGACCTCCTGTGTGACTCGCTGTGTCTGGCTTTCTGGGTTTGTGGCAATATAAGCGACCAGTTCTAGGCATTCTTCTTGGATAATTCACCAAATTTGACATGAGGCAGCTTCTTAGAATGCAGTTGTAATGTAGGTTGGGGCAGTCTGAAACCTTACCAACTTTTGTTTTTTAAGATTTGGAAAGGCAGAGCCATAGAAAAAAGGAGAGACAGAGAGAAAGATCGTCCAGCCACTGGTTCACTCCCCAAGTGGCTGCAATGGCCAGAGCTGAGCCGTGCTGAAGCTGGGAGCATCTTTTGGGTCTCCCACGTGGGTGCAGGGTCCCAAGGCTTTAGGCCATTTTTTTTTTTTTCTGGTTTCTCAGGTCACAAGTAGGGAGCTGGATGGCAAGTGGAGAATCTGGGACACAAACTGGTGCTGCATATGGGATTCCAGTGTATATAAGGTGAGCACTTTAGCCACTAGGCTCTTGTGCCTGGCCCTCAACTAACATTTCAAAAAGTATATTTATTTTTATGTATTTGAAAGGTAGCGCTCCAGCAAAGAGGGAGAGACAAAAGGAAAAATCTACCACCTGTTGGTTCAGTTCTCAAATGGCTGGATTAGGCAGAAGCCAGGGGCGTGGGGCGGCTTCTGGGCTTGGGTGAAGAGCCCGAGGTACTTGGGCCATTTTCCACTCCATTTTTGGGGAGTCGGATATGAAACGGAGCAGTACATCTCCAGCTGATGGCGGCTTAACCTACTATGTCCTGATAGGAGACCCAAGTTAACATTTCATATGCTGCTACACTGAAATCCATTGCCCTCTAGAATCTCTTTAAGAAAAACATATTTATTTATTTCAAGGCAGAGTTATGGAATGAAGGAAAGCAGAGAGATTTTCCATGCCCTGGTTCGCTCCACTACTGGCCACAGCAACCAGACCGATTTTCCCATTGGTCATGTGGAAATCGGCTGTTCCAGGAGATGTAGGGATTGCCGCAATGATGATACAATGTCAAAAATGCATTTGTGAACATTCCTGGCAACTTGAGCAGGGAGGGCCTTGAAGTCCTGGCAAGCTCTGAAGCTCAAGGTGGCAGATACAAGCGTAACACAATCTAGTTTGTGTGTGAAAACTCACAGTACTGTTTCTCTGCTTGTGCCCACAATACAAGTACTTCCCCCTTCTTCATACGGACTAGTTCAAAGGTGTGTGTGTGATGCAGGCCAAGAATGCACAACTTGGCCAGCGCTGGCGACACTTGGCTGCTGTTGCCGAGCCCAATCTACCTTTACTGTTCCTCACACCAGCAGAGTCAAGGTCAAGGACGCCAGAGGCATCTTGCATTAGGACGAAGACCCTTCGCTCTTGCAGACTCAACTGAAAGCGTCTAGAAGGCTCAGGGTACCGTGCAAGTCCCCGTGGAAAATCCACCCAAGAGCAGAGGCTTCAGAAAGTAACACTCCAATTTCTTGGGTTATCTCTAAATCCTCTTTTGTATAAAAAGTGCCCTCCTTCTGTTTTCTTAGTTACGGAGCAGGAAGTTCCAGTTTCTCGTGCGTGCCCTTACCTAGCAGGAGGATGGTATGTAACGCTCTTTTCCTCCTTGCGGAAGGCGGTTAATGCACAACAACGCGTCAACAGACCGCATAGCTTTTCTCTTACTCACTCGGAATCTACGTGCTTTGTAAAAAAAAAAAAAAAAAAAAAAAATTCCAAGTCTTTTCACAATCAGGACAGTGGCCAATTACAAAAAAAAAAAAAGTGGGGTAGTGGCTGTCCCCGCATGACCACGACGGGTCAGCCCGCGTGGTGTCCTAGGCCGCCCACCTCCTACAGGGCCCCCCCCAAAAAAACACTGACGCACTTCTGAGGGAAAAACAAGACGGAGCCGCGATACAAACCTCCCCGGATAGAACACGAGAGAACACGAGAGAAGGCGGCGGCGCCAGGTCGGGCCGCGCGAGCCCCTCGCGGCGTTGCCGGGGCGACGCTTCCGGTGGCGCGCGCCGCCGCGGAGCAGGGGAGTCGCGGTCGGGCGGCTAGAGCAGCCCGGCGCTGCGCGTGCGCGTGCGGCGGCGGCGGGAGCGCGCTGGCGGCCGCGCGGGCTGCGCCTTCCCGGCTCCGTCACGGCCGCGTCGGAGACGTTGGCGAGCGGGATGAACAGCGGAGGTCCCTTCGGCTTGGGCTTAGGCTTCGGCCTGATCCCTACGGCGGTGATTCAGGTGACCAATCTGTCGTCGGCCGTGACCAGCGAGCAGATGCGGACGCTTTTTTCCTTCCTAGGAGAGATCGAGGAGCTGCGGCTCTACCCTCCGGAGTGAGTGCCGGGGCTCGGCTGGGGGAGGGGCGCGGGCGCCATGGAGCCCTGGGGCGGCGGGGGCGCGGGGCGCGGCGGGGGCGCGCGGGGCGGCTCACGTGACCGCCGGCCGCCCGCGCCGGGGGCGCCCATGTTGGATGAGGGCACCCGCCGCGCCGGCCTGGGCGTCCTTGGCTTGGCTTGGCCGGCCGGTCACAAAGGCCGTGGGCGAGGCGGGCCTCCTTCCCGGTGCTCCGTTCTCGTGCTGGCCCGCTCGGGAGATGCTAGCCTGGCCGCCTTCCCACCATCCACCCTGCGCCCCGTTGCGTCCCCTGGATTTAAGATGGCCGCAGGTGGGCCTGGGCTCGGCCTCATGGCACGCGCCTGGCCCGCGTCCTGCGCGCCTCTCGGGGGACGCCCGGGCAGCCGTCCCCGGTGCTTCGGGCCTCCGCCTCGGACCGTTAGCGCTCGGCCAGAAAGCCTGCGGCTGCTGACAGGCCGCGTGGGTTCCCCGGGCGCCTCTCGCACACTTGAATGAGCATCCTCGGTTTGACCCGCCCCGGGCCCTTCCGTGGGCTACATTGTTGTCCTGTCACCCTGTTGCACACCAGAGGGAGAAAGTTTCTGTTTGTCCAAATTTATCCACAAAGCAAAAAAAAAAAAAAAAAAAAAACAAAAAACAAGCGTGGCCGGTGCAGGATTGTGCGTGCGGTGCGCTCCGCATTTTTGAAAGTCCAGCTCGGAGCGGACACTCGCGAGGCGCAGCCACCTCTCCAGCGGCGTGGTTGGAAGGGATCCGGTGTTCCTTGCCCACTGCGACTTATTCAGGAGAGGTGGCGGACGGTCCCCGCCGGGGCGCGAGAGCCGTCGGTCCTGAGCCAGGCAGTTTGGAATGTGTCACTGGTTTGAAGGAAGTGATCGCCTGTGGGTTTTTATCTTTTTCATTTTTGGAATTAGTTTGCATTTGATTGATTTGAGTTATGAATCGGATCTCCGAGATTTTTCCGTGTGCACCTACGCAACAGTGCCGCCGCGTAGATGGGATGAAAGCTGTTAACATGTTTGGGTAGTTTAGACTTAAGGTTTCCCCTTTTTGGAGAAGATTCTGAGCACCCCTGTTCCCTCCGCGTGTGAGATTTCTTGTGCCCTTTCCGCTTCTTTTGATGTAGCGTGTATAGCGTGTAATCAGGCCACCCACTGCGTTATCTCATTTCAGCAGACAAGTCCCTCCCCAGCCGCCCCTCCCGCTTTTAAATCCTCTTCTCGAGGTTAAGTCTTGTTTTTTCTCGTGGAAGAAGCCGTGTTCTAAGGTTCCTTAGGTTATCAGGGATGAGATTGGTGCTTGTGGCATGCACATGTTTTTAAAAATGCCTTCTCAAGGCTGCGAGGAGTGCTTAGAGGGGCAGTTGGAACCCATCCCTGAAATGCTTTGTAGATGGTTTTGCGCCCCAGGTCGCAGGAGTAAGGTGTCTTCGCGAGTAGGGATCTGGGTTGCAGAGTACTTCGCCAACATCGTACCATCTTTCCACCTGCATTGTTGAAAGCTGTGTGTGCGTGGATTGCCTACCAGTTACTGGCAAAAACAGCCTGGGGAAATGTAATTTTTTCTAGCTTTCTAGTAGCAGGGGGGAGAGAGAGAAAGAGAGAGATCTTCCATTCTCTCGTTCATTGCTGCCATGCCGGTAACAGGCAGGATTAGGCCAGGGTAAAGGCAGGAGCCAGGAGCTGGGCCTGGGTCCTGCGCCATGCTCTGCTGCCGCCCAGGGAAGGTGTTAGCGGGAGAGTAGAGCTGCCACTGGGTCCCAAGTACTTGGAGGGGGTGTGACAGCTTAAGCTGTCAGGCTGAAAAGCTGTCTTCCTTTCTGGCTTCTGTTTTTATTTCTTTTATTTTATTTGAGAGGCAGAATGGGGGAGAGAGAGAGAGAGATCTTTCAAGTGGATGCTACGGAAATGAGTACTTGAGCCATCACTGTTGCCTCCCAGGGTCTGAGTTAGCAGGAAAAAAATGCAGGTAACTGGGGGGGAGGAGGGGCTTTTCCTTCCTTCCTTTTTTTTTTTTTTTAAAAAGATTTACTTATTTTGCTTGAAAATCAGAATTCTAGCTATCTTCCAGTCACAGGTTCACTCCACAGGTGGCTGCAATGACCATAGGTGGGCTGTCCACGTGGGGAGGGAAGAGGGGCATGGCCCTCGGCTGCCCTCCACTTCTTACCAGGCTTCTCCAATTCCCAGGCGCCCTCCACTTCTTACCAGGGAGGTGGATCTGAGGTGGAGTACCCACAGGAGATTCCTGTGCTGCCGTTGGAGGCTTAGCTTGCAGCACTGGCCCTAGCTTATTTTTATTTATTTATTTATTTTTTTAATAAATTTTATTTTGACATTCTTTCCATAGTTACTTAGGGTAAGTAAGGTTCAAGGGGTACAGGAAAGTGGATAATACTAATATGTTTTCCTTATTTGTACCTCATGTTTAAAAGGGGGGTTTTAAGAGAAGGCCCACCAATTTCCACCCTCCCAAGTCCCGGGGTTAGGGCATGCTCTGTGGTGCTTGCTCAAGTGGTTTTGTATTGCAAACGTTTATGAATTCGCTGTCAATCTTTGCCGCTCCAAGCATATGAGGTCTTGTAAAATCATGATTGACATAGTCCATTCATAGCTTAGATGGTTGGTTGACCCGGTTGTCTTTGCTCTTTTCTGTGTTATGGTCTGCGTCAGCATTTTAGATTAGGAAGATCTCCAAAGAAACTTCTTGTTGTTGCTAACAGTACAGGGACTGGCACCAGTCATCGCTCCAATCAGCTGGTGTTGCAATCCTGGGTTGGTTTCTGTGTTCATCCCGTCTTCCACTGGAGCAATGGGGGTTGAGTCCAGTCTGGTTCTAGCCCAGGCACATTACTTGGCCTCACATAAACCAGCTGGGAGCTGTTAGCCTAGGTTCGAGCGACCACAATACCCAACCAGGCCCACCCCCCTCCCTGGTTTGCCGTAGTGTAGCAGTAATCCAGTCTGTACATCCATTCACCCCAGCGCTGTCTTAGTTTTTATGTCCTCCGTGGAAGTGGTAAACCCAAAGAGGGATGAGCCCACTATTTTTTCTCCTCCCAGGCTCTCCCACTCCCTGATTTCCAGTTGATGTGCCAAACAAACTCGCCCACTTTAATTATGTGTGCACCAGTAGAATATCCGCCCACCAAGCCTGGCTTTTTCCCGATCTAGTCCACATTGAGGCGCACAGGTGTGGTAGCTCTGCCTAGTCTGGTCTGCCCATCCCAGCCCATGCTCTCTGCGGAAGTAGCTGTCCAGCAGGAACCCTCCCTTATTCCCCTGCCAGCTCTGCCTACTTCCTTTTCTTGTTTCAGGCTGGTTGGGCGCTGCGGTCCCTTATGGTACAGGCAACTCTCCTCGGATTCAATAATGTGTACCCTAGTCTTTGTTGCGACCGACCTGGGTCGACCACATGGTGCCCTGGATTTGCAAGTGGGTGATGTGGGAAAGATTCAGCCTGGTTCTGCCCACGTCTGCCAATGTATGCAGTGGGTAGTTTCCATGGCCTTTTTGGGCTGGTGTCCTATCAGTTTTCTTGCGTTTACCCTGATGGGTCTGTGTCCTGCTGAGGAGTTGCCCAGGCTCCTCCATCAGAACTCTCCCAATGCAGGTTTCACGCTTACCAGTGGGTCCATGAGCCAACCCTACTCAGTCCACCTACTGTCATAGCAGGAACTGTGGCTTTTCCTGATGGCCTTCAACCATTGGTTGCTTGCTGTTGGATGTTCCAGCCAGCCATGGTTTGTCCATACCCACGTATGGCTCACACATGCTCAGTAGGGGTTTGAGGACCCTGCTAGTCCATCCACATTGCCATGGTCCTCCAGAACACCAGGTGAGTCGGGGGTCCGGCCAGTTCGGTGCATCAAATCCCAGTCCACACTGTGCAAGGGAGACTACAAACTGTTTCCAGTATCAGAACGCATCACCCTTTCAGGCACGCGCCTCTTGGTGGGAACCTCAGCCAGCTAGGGTTGTCCCTTTGCTCCCCACGGTCCGTTCCCAGGCATAGAATCACATTGCCTGCAATGGATGCTCGGACTCAGCTTGGCACACCATCCCCTGTCCCGATACTTGCCATTAGACACTTTGACTCAGCGTCCAGGCTCACACAGGACCCCAGCAGTACAAGAGCCTAGCTCGGCATGACTCTGCTCCCTCCTGGTTTATAGTTTTACTTGTGGGTACGGTTTGGCTCAGTCGTGCTAATCTACTCTGCCCTTCATACCAGTTGACACATTGGCCAACTGTTGAGCTACTTGTGCGGGCAAGCCCCAAGCCATGCTTCTGGCATGACTGGTATTGGTGCTTCAGAATTAATTAGTGATTACAAGCTTTTGCTAAGGAAGAGGTTACTGCCTCTTTCAGGTCCAAGAAGCACAATGGAGTTCAACCTGGAGCTAATAAGCAGCAACTCAAAGAACCAAATTCCCAGAGCTCCCGCAGGCGGCCAGCAGGCGGACGCCTGGCACCAATGGCGACTGAGCGCCGGGGGAGAATGGCTCACCATGTTCCATGGCGGGTCCGGGAATCCATGGCATGGTGGACGCCCCGTCCTGTGACCACCAGCTGCGGGAGGCTGCTGGAGGTTTTAAAATTCCAGGCCAAGGTCGCGCCCCTCCCAATCCCCTTGTCCGCACAAGAGGGCGGTGGTGGGTTGACGGACCTGGCCCAGTACCGGGGCTCCCCCCCTCGGTCTACTCACCCGAAGGAAGCGGGCCCGAAACCAGCAGGCCGGGCGAGGACGGCTCACCATGTGGCCCATGGCGGCCGTCGGAATCCAGGCATGAGACGCCCCGTCCTGAGACCCACCAGCTGCCGGCGAAGGCTGCTGGAGGTTTTAAAATTCCCAGGCCAAGGTCGCGCCCCTCCCAAATCCCCTTCACCGCCCCAATGGAGGGCGGTTGGCTGGGTGGCCGGACCTGCCAGTCCCGGAGGCATCCCCCCCTCGGTCTACTCACCCGAAGGAAGCGGCCCCCCGTAACCAGGCAGGGCCCGGGGAGGACGGCTCACCATGTGCCCATGGGGCGTCCGGAATCCAGGCATGAGGACGCCCCGTCCTGAGACACCACAGCTGAGGGAGGGCTGCTGGAGGTTTAAAAATTCCCAGTGCCAAGGTTCGCGCCCCCCCAAATCCCCTTCACCGCCCAATGAGGGCGGTGGGCTGGGTTTGCCGGACCTGCCCAGTCCCGGAGGTCTTGCCCCTCGGTCTACTCACCCGAAGGAAAGCGGCCCCGAAACCAGCGGCCCGGGAGGACGGCTCACCATGTGCCCATGGCGGCGTCCGGAATTCCAGGCTGAGCCGCCCGTCTGAGACCCACCAGCTGCGGGAGGCTGCTGGAGGTTTAAAATTCCATGGCCCTAGGTCGCGCCCCTCCCAAATCCCCTTCACCGCCCAATGAGGGGGTGGCCTGGGTGCCGGACCTGCCCAGTCCGGAGGCCTCCCCCCTCGGTCTACTCACCGGAATGGAAGCGGCCCCGAAACCCAGCAGGCCCCGGGAGGACGGCTCACCATGTGCCCATGGCGGCCGTCCGGAATCCAGGCATGAGACGCCCCCCTAGCTTTATTTTTTAAAAGGGTTTTATATTCCATTCAATCCAAATTCATGTATCTGTACGTTTTGGTTTGCCATCAAGTTTTGTTATTTACTAAAAAAAACCCTTATCCTTCAAAAACATTTTTTTTCACTGGGTGTTAAATGCAGACATCAGAGTCAGGTGAGTCTCCTGGGCACAGTTGCTTGCTGTGTTCCATTAAGCCTGGTGTTGGCGTTGTACAATTAAAACAAGATGGCTGTGATCCTGTGGGGTGCGTTGTTGTCTTGGTGAGTTACCATGCATCCTTTAAACCAGGCGTTGAGACACCCAGGCCAGGGCCGAGCAGATCCTGAGGCAGAGTGCAGAGTGCGTCTGCTTGCTAGTGAGATGTACCAGAAAGCCCTAACTAGATCTGAAAGTCACAGTGATTTATAAACACATACTTGTTTGTTGAGATAGTGATTATCTGCTTGTAGACTTGCCTCTATGTCATAGTACAGCTTTCAGTGTTTTAAAATAGTCCTTGCTACCTCCACTGAAAAGCTCAAATATTTACATGTTTACAAAGTAAATATACACTGGCCATTATTTTCTGTCTTAAGGAAAGTAATTGGAGGTGAAGATAAAGAAAATTGCTTGGGAGACTCAAGTGGGAGACTTGGATTGAATTCCCAGGTTGTGGTTGAAGTGGAGACAGAGGTGTCTAGAAACCGTACTCCCAGAACAGACCTATATAAGTTTGAAACTAATTCCCGTGGTGTCACGTGTAGTCTCGTTGCAAAGCAGGCGCAGATGGCCTTTTCCTGCAGTTATTATTAAAGTAGGGGTGGTTGGAAATGTTTCTCATTTTCAGCAGTGATCGCTTAGGTTTGGTTAGGTTTTCATTCTTTCGCAAGAGGATCATTCAGTTAAGGGAATGTAGCTTTAGTGATGGGTTTCAGGCTGTTCAAGATTTCAGAACTGCGGGTGACTTGTTGCAATGGCTAAGGCCTTTTTTAGGTCCTTGTAACCATAGATTGGTTTGGCTGCAAAGGATAGAAACAGTGTTTCTCAGGCAAGCTGCAGAAGAGGCTTCAGCTGGTGGAAGGTTAGACTGAAGGGGAAGGAGCCGGGACCGGTAGGACTGGGTCTCACTAGGCTTGGTTGCCAGCTCTGTCTGTCTGTAGACTCAACAGGGTACTCATCACCTGGCTCTTGCCAGTGTGCTAGGCGGACTCTAAGTTCCTTTCCCGGCCAGTAGAGGATCCGATTGTTCTGAGGCATTTGGTCCAGCCTCACCACCCAAATTATAGTTTGCTATTCCACCAGTAAAATTAGCCCTTTTGGTAGGCAGCAAGTCCTTTGTGGTTGTACAAAACTTAAAAAGCTCTTAAGGGGTTCATTCACATAAGGAGATTCTAGAGGCGCTTCAGAGATGTATGGAAGGTGGTAGCATGCGGGAGGGGTACTAGTCACCCTGACTCCTTCACATGTTTTACCTCAAGACCTGAAACTTGAGCCTTGGGAAAAAGTGAAATTACAGTTGGCCCTACTGCCCAATGGAATCTCTAGTGTAAAGACTGAAGTAGCACCTCGCGTTTCCTTTCAAAACCAAAAGTATTTGTATATGCATGGATTTGGGGGTGTGGTTAGATGATGGAGGAAGGTCTGAGGATGTCTGTTAGGAAATCTAAGGGGTGGAGTGTTAAAGTGTACGGTTTAGAAAGATGAGTGACAGCTTTTGGGGGGGCGGGTCACTGGTAAAGGGTTGAAGATGAAGGCAGCGTGATTGGGTGGGAGCCCTTGTAGTATTCCATGTGGGAAATATTGAGGGCCTGATTAAAGCACTGGCCATGAGGATGAAGAAAGGATTAAAATGACTTATTTGAGAGAGAGCTTCAGCAGAATAAAATCGGTGTAGGTGGAATCTGGGAAATCCCCAGATCTCAGTAATTTTAGAAAACCGATGAATTATTACATGTGATTGGTGGGGTTGGGAACTCTGCTCATGGAGTCACCGGCATGAGGCTTTTGAATCAGCCACCTGTCTTGAACATTGCTGCTCACTGTGGCAGAGACATTAAAATGCAAGCAGCAAAATGGAAATTTACCGTGAACCCAGAAGCCCTGGAAATAGGTGAGCAACGCTGGTGACTGTCACGCGAGACTCCTAGCTTTTTTTTTTTTGTAACCTGGGGTAGAGTGGTGGAATCATGAACAGCAGTGTGGTGGATAGCAGAGGGCTGAACTGGGAAGGAAGGGGGCTAGGGAATGGAAGAGAAGGGTTGGGTCCCAGGGAGCACCAAGGTGTGATCTTGCATAGGTGCTAGAGTTAGAGAGCTCCATGGGAGATTCGATCCTGGGAAGCTGGGAAGTTGGGTTGTTCGAGTGTTTAACTCTGTGACTATATATAAAGTGTTTGGATTGTTGTGTTGGATAAGTAGGGGGTTTTGGTAATCCTGGCATGAATCTGAAATTCGAATTGCTTAGGGTGGTGAGCTGTCCGGTGAAGGGGGTAGCAGTGTTCTGGTGCTTTCCTCAGCAGTACCAGCGTGTTAGTCGAATAGTACCAAGTTTTTACAGCTACAGTTTGTTATCCTGGTATTTGGCTACTACGTTGTTTCAAGGTTTGTTTCTGTGAGTGATTGCAAAGAAAAATTTTTGAATTTTAAAAATGAGTATTTGTGCAACTACTGATTCTGTAGTATGTCAGGATAGCTTGAAAATTCTTGAGGAGTTGACTAGTTAAGGTTGTAGGAGTCTGCAGCTAGTTAGCCCTGCACTCGCAACTGCCGTGCTCCTGTTCAGGAATTGTGATCAGTTTCCTTCATTTGTTTTGTAAAACAAAGTAAATTCTACTTATTGCACAAGTCTTAGTTTTCAATATGTACTTTTTTTAGTGTGAAAAATTGTAATGGTTCAAGTGTTTACATTTAATAAGGGCTAGTGTCTATGTTATTTTGCATATAAAAGATAAAATTTGTTTCAAAAATTTTCATTTATAGAATCACATTGCTGTCTAGCTTAAAACAGTCTGCTAAGTGCATTAAGACAAATTTTAGTTCTGTATTTGTTTGTAAGACTGATGATATTTTTAGTGATTTTAAATACTGAAGAATCACAGGATGGGCGTGGGCTTGGGATAATGACCAGAGCGAGGGGATGGCTGTGTTATTGTTGCAGGTCAAAGCTGTACTTGTAGTTGTACTCGATATTTCCTTAAATGAAGAAGTGTTTTGTATTTATGTCATTATGTCATTAGCTGGATGTAATAAAATGTTTTTTTATATAAGATTTATTTTTATTATTTTTTCATTGGAAAGGCAGATATACAGAGAGGAGAGACAGACAGGAAGATCTTCCATCCGATGATTCACTCCCCAAGTGAGCGCAATGGCCGATGCCGATGCTATGCCGATCTGAAGCCAGGAGACTCTTCCGGGTCTCCCACACGGGTGCAGGGTCCCAAAGCTTTGGGCCGTCCTCGACTACTTTCCTGGGCCACAGGCAGGGAGCTGGAAGGGAAGTGGAGCTGCCGGCATTAGAACCGGCGCCTATATGGGATCCTGGGCGTGCAAGGCGAGGACCTTAACCACTTGCGCCACCACGCCGGGCCCTGGATGTAATAAAATGTTACTGTCAGAAGTTTGTTTGAAGCTCTAAGAGTTGGAACTTTTATCATGGGACTTGTCCATTTTTGATATGATGAATGAACACCTGTGAGTTACATCAGCCGTTTTCATATTTTACTGATTGAGTTTCAAGTTTTAGAAATCGGGTTATAAGTCTGCCCATATTGCCCTCTGTCTTGGTAGATTGCCATTAAATGACTAAATTTAATTTTCAAGCCTTAATGATTTTAAGCAACAAAAAAATCAAATATTAGTTTGGTTATGTAAGATTTTGTAAAGATGAAAGAAATTGTAAATGAAACGACGAAGCCAGACAAATGTTTGTTAGTCCAATTGTGTTTTCTTCTTTTTTATCTTTCAGCAATACACCTCTTGCGTTTTCATCCAAAGTATGTTATGTTAAGTTTCGTGACCCTGCGAGTGTTGGTGTGGCCCAGCATCTAACTAACACGGTTTTTATTGACAGAGCTCTCATAGTTGTTCCTTGTGCAGAAGGTTAGTATTGCACCTGTTCTCCCGTTTTGATTCTTGTCTTGTCTGTTACTGCCTTTGAGTGTCCGAAAGATGGCCGGTAGACAGCTCAGGGTGTGTGTGTGTGTGTGTGTGTGTGTGTGTGTGTGTGTTGTATGTGTGGAAGAGAAAGAATGTATGTAAAAGCAGGGATGAAGTTTAGAGAAGGAAGGAATTTTTACTCAAGAGTAAATGCTGTAAAATGTTTAATTGATTTTGTTTGTTGAGGGTTTATAATTTCTCACTTTAAAAATGATAAATTATTTGGCTTTTTTGGTTTTGCTTTGGCTTTTTAAATAGTCAATTCTCTGCTTGCTTCAACAGCACATATACTAAAATAGTCAATTCTCAGGTTGTAAAGAAAGTTTTCTGAAATTAAAAAAACATCGATATGAGAACTTTCATGTGTAAATAAGTGTTTATCCTGTGTGTACTGATAGTGTTACCAACAGACGCAATGTACACATTTTACCTATAGAAGTGGTAATGATAAACAGTCATGGTTTGTGCTTTCAGATAGCCTCTTAGGTGATTGACGTGCTTACCATGAGATCATTGTTTTATATTCAGAATAATTGTTTGCAACTGGAATTTACTTTTTTCTTTTTGTGACTTTTGGGTGGGGGAATTGAAAAATTGTCATGCTTCCTCCCTCCCAAAACATTTTTTCCAAAGCTTCTTTTAAAAGAACTAAAGAACTAGCTGTTAATGATTGAAACAAGGCTAAAAGCCTTAATGATTAAATTTTATGGCCTACTGCTTTAAGAGCTAATTGTTACTAATAATTTTTAGTAACTTCTTTTTACAGAGCCACTCACATACAGTAAAGTGTGCTGAATTTTGACAGTTCTTGTGTGTAATGAACTATTCAAAAAACTGACCATGGCACGTGTACATGAATTGTAGTATTGGGTTATTGTATATCCTTAAATCAGATTTTCTCTGGTAACTGTTTTACAACATAAAAGTTTACTAGAAGCCTCTTAACAGCTCTTTTATTGGCCCAGATTAATGTAACATATATAATCAGCTGTACTTTCAGATTTTATGCATTATTTCAGCATGCCTATTTTGGTTGTCAGAAATCTAACAGTCAAATACAGTGAGTATCTGGGCTGATACTATTGAAATCCCAGAATAGAATGTTCTGATTTTTTTCAGATAAATTGGGAGTGTGTTATCCTGTTTGGGGGTTAGGGTGGGTCAGGAAAATAAAAAATGTTTTGCAATTAGTTATTTGTTAAGCACACCCTTACCTGCTGATGTAAGGATAACGGAGCCCAAAGCTGGAGAGTGGGGAGAGGGGCTGGTTAATGGTTGGTTCTTCACCTGGAAGTTCCATCCCAAGAAACTGCATAGGAAAAAGAGTAGGTAGAGGGGCTTAATAAACTGAAATATAACTGCAAGTTATTGCAGCAACATGACAGGGTCTTTGATTGAATTAGGTAGAGGGGTTTAATAAACTGAAATATAACTGAAAACTATCGCAGCAACATGTCAGGATCTTTGATTGAATTAGGTCCTTACTAATTGGAAGAAAGAATTCTATGCTTGTTTTATTAGGACCTTGTTACATTCCCATAGAATTGTTGAGGTTACACAGGCCCTGATTGGTTTGTCATGAATGTTCAGGGTTCCTCCTGTTGTCTATTTTACTTGATAGAGAGATAAATGTAGAGTAAATGTAAACTCAGTTACAACTTTTTAATATATTGCTACTGTTTTGAGACAAAAATTTACTATTTTTGAATATGAGACCTCAAGCATAATTTTGAAGTTTGGGTAGAAGTGAGCATTTTAGAGCATTAAGCTATAAAATGGCTGGCATTAGAAAAGCATTCAGATACATTTTTTATTAGTTATTAAATATGGAAGTTACTATTAAGATTTTTTTGGTGACATGCAGTACATTATGCGCCGCAAGCAGAGCAGTAATGTGCTAGTGTAGTAAGGCAGTGGTGAGTTGAAGCCAGCCGCAGGAGAGGGGCTCCCATCCAGAGCCTGCGTCCAGATGCCATGCGCAGGCTCTTGTCCACTTCCCTGATTGCGTCATTGCCTTGACCTTATTGAAATGGCATCATGACATAATGAGAAAAACAAAAGGAAAAATATTCGCAAAAACTGTTTTTAGGTCTTTGATTTGCTGTGTTAGAGTGGACAGCAGTGTGAAGATTTTAGGCTGTGGAAGTTTCATACATTGGGAGCATTAACTATTGTTAGTAAAACATGCCGTTTTCAAATAAAGTGTGCTTGGATCATGCTCATCCAGATAGGACTCGTTTTTGTTGTTGTGTGCATTCCAGGCTTCTTTTAGAAATAAATGTGAATTAGCAGATAGAGCGGGCTAAATTCAGACATGACAAGGGTGTCAGCTTAATCAGCAGTCATAAGTTTATGTCCACATTTTCTGGTAGATGGATTTTGACTATTAATTTGGTTTTGTATGTTTTCTCTATGTGATATTTGTGCACTATTAGATGACTAGACTGGCCGAGGCAGACCTGTTACACTTGCCTGAGTTAGGCATTGTTTGCCCTGCCACTAAACCTGCCGACAAGTGACACCTTCCCTGGGGAGTGAGATCGGAGTCTCAGCCGCAGAAGATGGACGCCCTGTCTCTGTTTTTTTATTGTTTTTGCTTTAATTTCATTTCTTTTTCTTTATTTTGTCCCCCTTTTGTTTTGTTTTGTTTTTGTTTTGTTAAATCTCTTTCACTTTAACTGTGAGCTGGTTCTCCAGTTCTTTGTAAATGGTATTCCATTAAAGGTCATAATGTGATGCAAATTATATTGGGAGTTGGTTAGAAGCACTCAGCTTTAAGATAATTGCTCATGTAGTAAATTAGGATATAGTATTGTGAATCGCAGTATGAGTCTAATTGGTGTTTGTAGCTGATCGGGTACATTTTGTTCTTAAAGCATTAAACTCTGGTAAGAATTTTAGGGACACTGAGTATAGTGTGTTCTCAATGTAACGTATTTGTAGTTTTTTTTCAAGTCCAAATTTCACATAAAAACCACTGCTTCTAATTTTCATCCTTCCCCTTAGAATTCTAGTCATACAAAATTTATCAAGCAAAGTAAGTGAATATTTTATGGTGGTCTGAATAGGGTGAAAAAAACCTTTACTTTTTTTTTTTTTTGCCTAAGTGGGGAATGGGCATTTGAGAAGCTATTGGTTGCTTATTTTCGTGTGTCTTTTTGTTTGATTGATTTGTTAAAAAAATTCTTCTGAGATTACAATTTTAGTTGGATTCTTAAGATTAAGATTTAGACTTTAATCCCATGAGAGATTTTTCTTCTGAGTTGTCATTGAGTATAACATGGAAAAATGCTAAATGCATTTACATCAGCCGTTTTCATATTTTACTAATTGAGATTCAGGTTTTAAAAAATTGGGTTATAGGCCTGCCCATATTGCCTTCTGTGTTGGTAGATTATCATTAAATGACTAAATTTAATTTTCAAGCCTTAATGATTTTAAGCAGCAAAAAATGTTGATTATGTAAGATTATTAATGTCTGATCATTAATGTTTGATTAAGATTTTGTAAAGATGGAAGAAATTTGTTTTAGACTTTATGTACACTAACTGGGGACTTCAGGAAGTTAGAAAAATTGGCCACGAGATAAAGACAGATTTTGTACAAACTTTTAGAAGCCCCCTCAGGTTTGGATAGTGTATTTGATAGAAATCCATCATAGAAATTAAACTGTGAAACTTTTTTTTTTTTTAAAGATTTATTTTATCAGAAAGTTGCAACTTTTTCTTAACCCATTATGTCTTATTGTCATATATATGGTGCATACAAAAACACCGAGCAAGAAATATATTGCTTATGGTATCTTTGTGATAAATACTGCGACATTGAGAATGTAAGACTTGATGGGTTATTGTATCCTTAGTGACAGTGTCAGACAAGGTGGCAGCTGCTGGAGTGGCAGTGTGTCACTGGAAGGCTAGGCCGATCGCACAGTCTACTGGTGCATCATGAAGGCCAGATGGGGAAGATTTCATAGTAGAAAATAATGAACTTTTGACCTGTGTCAGACACCCTGTTAGTCTTCCATGCTGTCTTTATGGATGGTTTTGCTTATTAATTGGCAAACATTACTAAATTGGAGAAATTACTGTTGTTTTTTTTAGGTGCAGTTGTTAGGCTAGTGAACCATAGGGTTTGCACTTCCCAGCCTCAGCTGATGCAGTCAGTGTGTTCAGATTTTATAAGTGTTTTTCACAGCCATATATTTGTACCAGGAAAATCTGTGATATTAGTGTAAGTAGCATAGCATATATGTGGATGTTAATACATGTGTTAATATGAATAACTAATATACTTAAAGTAGGTTATTGTTATTTGATGTCTCAGTAAGGCTATCTACCTTTTGTTTATGCATGTTGAATCTGTTTTCTAGAATTTACATTGAAGTAGTTTCTGTTTTTAAAGATATGTTATTAAATTTACTTAGTGTAAACTTATTTAGAGATTTGTGTCTGTGCGTCTGATTGTTTTCAGTAGCATTTTTACCACTGGAATTAGGCATGGATGCATGAACTGTGCTTCAGCTGTGGGTGACTCTGTACACTGTCTTGAAGAATCCGTAATGGAGATACATGCCAGCTAAGCTACCACATGAGTAGTGCTTCTAAGTACATGGAGTCACCTGTTTTTAAAAATCTTTGTTTTGGCTAAGATGATAAGAAAAAATGTGAAAGTTAACAAGTTTTTGCCAAAATTAGTTGGTTAAAATTTAGCAAATGTGGCAAGTCAGTGTACCTATTTCACAGTGAATTTTTCATCTTTATTTTTTTTCTTATTAGTGTGAAATTATTTTAGGACTAACTCTTGACATATGGCAGTTAAAGTGTTGATAGGTAAGACACATAAGCCACCCTTCTTCGGATAAGTATGCAAAAGCTGACTACAAGGTTAATGTTTTAAGAAGTTTTCCTGAAAGCAGGAAGTCTTCTTGATGCAGTTATCTGATGTAGGTATTTTCCAAAACTTTTAGCAGTTTATGGAGGTGTGTTCCTTGGCAATGGATTCTTTTAGACATCTCAGATATTGGTGAGACCTTTGAGTGAATGGATGTAGACTGCCTTTTAAATTACAGCTAGTATGTTAAGTAGATTTTTATTTTTATTTATTTTTTTTGTTTATTTGGAATTGAATGGAATCTGTTGGATTATCAAAATTGTTTGCTTCACAAGTAGATAGCTTGAGTAACAGGGTAGGGGCACTCATTAAGGAACAGATTTCAATTCGCACATATTTGGTTTTTTTTTCTTTTTTTTTCTTTTTTTTTTTTTTGACTGATTTGGTTATTTGCCATTTCTGGGGATTAAACTTTAAAAAATGTTCTTCTTTTCTGTATCTGATGTTCTGTGTGCTATTAGTGATGCAGCCAACACGAACGGTTGTCATGTGTAACACAACTTTCGATCACCGCGAAAACACCGTCCTGGGAAAGCGTCCATGCTTGATATCGTTTGGTTCATGAACATTAAGTTTCCAGTACAGGTGACCCATAGCTCAAAGTGTTACATAATTGTGTACATTATTCAATTTTTAAGATAATATTCCATTAATGAGATTTCTAGTCTTTGAAGTTTTGCTCACTTTTATTTTTCCTAATAGAGCAGGATAAAAGGAAAGACTTAAGTTCTTATTTATTTCGTTATACGGATCTGATAGATAGATTCTCATTTATTATTATTATTTTTTAAGTGCCAGGGTAATTGTAAAGTCATAGTGTCATGTTTGTGTGGTGTATCTGCCTTCTTTAATGTTTGGAACTTGCCTCTGCAGGTAAGATCCCTGAAGAAGCCAAAGCCCTCTCCTTGCTGGCGCCCGCTCCGTCCATGACCAGCCTGATGCCTGGTGCAGGGCTGCTTCCCATCCCCACCCCCAGTCCTTTGACCACAGTAAGTACTCGGAGTCCACTCCGGGGTCACATTCAGCTAGGGATCATTTGAGTGAAGAGCTCAGGAAATTGTTGCTGTTTTGTGTCTTTTTTTTTTTTTTAAGTTTTATTTTTATTATTATTTTTTTTATTGGAAAGGCGGATATACAGAGAGGAGAGACAGACAGGAAGATCTTCCATCCGATGATTCACTCCCCAAGTGAGCGCAAGGGCCGATACTATGCCAAACCGAAGCCAGGAGACTCTTCCTGGTCTCCCATGCGGGTGCAGGGTCCCAAAGCTTTGGACCGTCCTCGACTGCTTTCCCGGGCCACAGGCAGGGAGCTGGATGGGAAGCAGGGCTGCCGGGATAGAACCGGCGCCCATATGGGATCCTGGGCGTGCAAGGCGAGGACCTTAACCACTGTGCCACCGCGTGGGGGGGGGGACTTTTTTTTATAACTGGAGAGAATTTCTAACCTCTTCTTGAAGATTTTCACTTCTTTTCCCCCTCCACCCCCCTCCGTGGTCATTGACTTAAACTGACTTTTGGAAATGCTCCTAACATAACTATTGACATTTGAGAAGTCATAGATTATTCATCAGAGAGTTAATGGAAATCTAAATGTTTTAGATTACATAGGACACTGGAAGGTCTGGGTGATTTCCAGATCATAATGTCATTTACCAGATCATGAGGATTAGAGATCCGTTTTTAAAAATCCATTTTTAAGATGGATGTTCCACAGTGGGGGAAAGTATTATAGAGAGGCACGCTCATGAACTTGGCCCACACTGGGCCCAGGCTGGCATGACTCCCCCATCCCAGTGCCCGCAGTCTTGTTGCACTGCCTGGCCTGGTCTAGTCAGCCCTCTGTTCCAGCTTCTGTTGGTGGGTGCTGCAGCCTATCCCAGCCCAGTCTGATTGCTGTCCTGGTCCTAATGTGAACCGGTTAGGGTTGTGGCCTGATCTCGCTCCTCCTGCCGCTTGCCCTGGTTCTCAGATCTGCCCGTGGGTGTTATGAACTGGCCCAGACTGCTCTGTCCCCAGACCTGACCCACATGTATGCTGGTGGGTACTGTAACTTGGTGTTGTCTGGGCTGCTCCTTGCCTTGCTTCTTGTGCTCACCTGCAGGCACTGCGTCCCAATGAGTTTCCCAAGCTTCTCTATCGAGTCTCCTCCCAGTGGCAGTTCTCAGGCACTCCAGTGGATCATTGGCCCAGGTTGACTTTGTCTACCTCCTGCCCTGGCAAGATCAGTGGTGGCTTTGCTCAGTCAATCACACTCATTCTGATTCTTGTTGGTTGTTGCAGCCCAGCACTGCCTGGTCCGTGCCCAGACACAGCTTTCACATAGTTCAGTGGGAGTCAAGACCTGACCTGGCCTGTTCTACACCCAACCTGGCTCTCACGAGTACCAGTAGGGACTGGAGTCAAGTCCAATCTGTTGCTCTACAGTCCCAGTGCACATCCACGCTGGTGCAGGCGTAGCCATTTCCAGCCAAGCCTGCTGCCTCCAATCCTACTCTCATCCTCACCAGTGGGAACCCCAACCCAGCTGGGGCGCCCCCTGGGCTCCCCAGCAAGGCCTGACCCCATGCACAGTTCTTGGGCGAGCCAGCAGAGATTGTAGTTCCACAGGAGTGAGCTCACATTGCCCCCACAGATTCTGCTATCAGACCCACTTCTCACTCTTTTTCTCCCCTCCAAACCAATTTGCTGTCAGTCCCCTACTTACATACACATGTTGTGGACTTGTCTGTGGAAGTCCCTCAGATGTAATTCCTAACCTGGGCATAAAAATCACAGGTCATCTCTCACTGTCACCTGTGAGATCCCATCATTTCCCTGTAAATCAAGACCCTTCAAACTGTGAGGGTGCACTGCCAGGCGGCCCCAGAGGCTTTGCCCAGTGCCTTTGGCCAGGCCCTTTCGGGGGGAGCCACACGACCCAACTACAGGCACCAGTGGGTCAAAAAAAGTAAATAACTTCCAGGATAGGGTGGTCCCAGAAACCTGCCTATCGTCCCTCCTCTAGCCCCCGGGGAGTCAGTGTGCTCAGCTGTATGTACCTGTTGGAAAAGCCTCCAGGCGTTGGCTTCTGAAGGTGTGCAGCGAGCGCCCTCCCCCAAGGCAGCCATGTGGCCCAGCTACAGCCACCCGGGTGGGTCAAAAAAACTTTCGTAATATTTTAAAAAGTTTTATATAAAGGGAAGGCAAAATTATTAAAAAGATTTATTAATTTGAAAGGCAGAATTTTAGAGAGAGGGAGAGAAACTGATCTTCCATCTGCTGGTTTACTCTCCAGATGGCTGATGGGGCCGGGGCCGGGGCCGGGCCAGGGGGCTGGGGCTGGGGCTGGGCTGGGGGCCCGGGGGGCTGGGGCTGGGCTCATGCTGGGACTGGGCTGGGCTGGGGCCAGGGCCTTCTTACAGGTCTCATGTAGGTGTAGGGGCTAAAGCACTTGGGCTGTTTTCCTAGGCACATTAATAGGGAACTGGATCAGAACTGACACTGGTGTTGGTACCTCCGGCCCCACTTCATCTGTGAAATTGGTGTAACAGTAATAGTCATCTCAGGGTCAATAGGATTGAGTTAATCAGTCAGCAAAATTAGATGCTGCTGTAATAGTTGGGTTGTTTTTTTTTTTTTTTTTTGGTTTGGAATTCAGTCATTTTGAATTACCGTCAAATTGATTTGTGACTTCGGTGTTTGTGAAGTCACTTATGAGATGAAACTTTTGGTTTAACTGTAAAGTCAATACTTGAAACAATTTTATGAAGAAATCACACAGGATGGCATTCTGTCTGGTTTTAATGTTCAGATTGTAAGCATGTATACTTTTTGCATTCTGTGTTTTTTGAATTTTTGTGCTTGTTACATAGCTCAACTTCTAAGCGTGGTGCTAACGTGTTGTGTTCCTGGGTTCAGGAATTCTGTGATGTGCTTCATGTAGAAAATGTGCGATAAGAAGTGTCGGAGTCATTTATTCATGCCAGTGATGAGATTTATATTAATGAATAACAGCACACTTTAAAGTGTCTTTAAACGGAAATTCATAAAAATAAAAATTATATGAGTGTCGGTTGACAAAAATACGACTACAGGATCTCAGGAACCTAACCCTGTATTTTCTCAGAAATAGTTATCAGTAGTCGGTAATACCAGTTCATGGTTCATGAATGCATTATAGAATGTAACTACTCAACATTTTATAACAGAAATAGGATGAATTTGTCCATATTTACTATTAAGTTTAAACAGACTTGAAATGTACTCAGTTATAAAATGTATTTCTAAATGCACTGGAAATAATGTGACCTCACTATCTTAATCTGAAGAATTAAAAAATGCTTCTGGGCGTAAGTTAGGAGTCTGTGGTCTTCCATTCTTGTTGGATGGACTCATTCTTACTAGTCTTTCTGTTGAGAACAGCATGTGTGTGTGTGTTCCTTTTCTAGCTTGGTGTCTCGCTTAGCAGTTTGGGAGCGATACCAGCAGCAGCGCTGGACCCCAACATTGCAGCTCTTGGGGAGATACCACAGCCACCACTCATGGGGAACGTGGACCCTTCTAAGATTGACGAGATCAGGAGGACGGTGTATGTTGGCAATCTGAATTCCCAGGTAACTAAAGAGAAACGGAGTGATTGTAGATGCTGCTCTGTATGTCTTCTAATGAATTGTCACTTGATAAAGATGTACCTGATTTTTCAAAAGTGTGTACTTTATTAAAGTGTCACTTTGTTTCTTCAGACAACTACAGCTGATCAACTACTTGAGTTTTTTAAACAAGTCGGAGAAGTAAAGTTTGTGCGGATGGCAGGTGATGAGACTCAGCCAACTCGGTTTGCTTTTGTGGAATTTGCAGACCAAAGTTCTGTGCCAAGGGCCCTTGCTTTTAATGGAGTTATGTTTGGAGACAGGCCACTGAAGTAAGGAATCTTAAACAAAGACATTTTAATGATTTTGAAAATAATTTAAAGTATGCTTGATGTAATAGAGGCCTTTTTTTTTTGCTAGTAATTGGCAATGTGTGTAAAGGAAGACTTTGTGTTAAGTATAAATGAAATACATGAGATAATTAGCTTTCAGCCTTTAAATTCCTGAAGTTGTTTATTTAAGGATGTTTATCCTATTTTCTCATTTTTCTATTTCTAAGGTCCAGTTCAACGTTAATGTTGTTTATGTACTCTATCTAACACGTGTGTCCTTAAGCCTCAACAAAATCAAGTTGGTTTTTTGTTATGACCCTAGACTAATGGACAACTTACTATGTGATTTGAACTACAGTATTTCTAGTATAAAAAAAAACTTGAGTGAACTCAGATTTGCAGCCAAATATATTGAGAACGTAGGATGGTTTTAAACCAATTGTTTTGACTTTTAGGGTTGCTCCTATCTTTGGTTGTGAAAAAAATGGTGTAACTTTTTAGATACTCAAGAAGTTCTGTTTCAAGTGATTATTGAGGGAAACTTGGTTTTGTCTGAATTCCATAAATTCCCTGATTTACAGAATTTGATCAGGATTTGCTTTGAAAGGAGAAATAATCATTTGCAATGGGTGCTTATCTTGGCAGTTGTGGTGGGGGTGAAGTGTGAGGCTCATTAAACATTGTGTGCATTCAGAAAGCTACTGGTAGTAGACTAGGCATTCTACCAGAAGGCTGTCAGCTTGGAATGTGTGTTTGACTAGGCCAGAGTTCAAGGTTAATTGAAATGGTACACGTGCTGCAAGCTCTGCCTTCATCCTCCCAGATTGCCCACGTTATCGACAAAATCTTAGGAGAAGTGATTCATTGGTATTAAGTATAAAATCTACAAAAGAGCCCATCTTAGTTGTAACTCTATGATACATAGGAAAATATTTCCTCTAGTCCATTTGGGCTGTTGTAGAAGTCAGCTATAGTTAAGCTTTCTTTTGGTTTGGTTTTGAATTTGTTAGCAAGAGATGATGGCAGGTAGGGATGAGGTTACTATTCATGGTTCAGGGTTGTTTTAGAACATGAATTTGCTCTATCATTCTCAGTGTGCTTTTGAGATACCCTCAGATTGATAAGTATTGTGTAAGCAGTTAATGATTTCATGTGTTGTATGTAAATAAGGTGTGCATTTGTGATATGCTAATATTTTTAATTTAGAATAAATCACTCCAACAATGCAATAGTAAAACCCCCTGAGATGACACCTCAGGCTGCAGCTAAGGAGTTAGAAGAAGTCATGAAGCGGGTCCGAGAGGCTCAGTCCTTTATCTCAGCAGCTATTGAACCAGGTAAGGCTGTGGTGTTGTTACATAGGCCACAGTTTACAGGTCATAGAGCCTTAGGACTGGAAGGAATTTAGAAATTGCATTGTTCAGTCCTTTTCTTTTACATAAAAGACTGACACTCAAGTAGTAAGTGGCCTACTCATGTCCAAGTGCATTCTAGCACAAATCTTAACTTTTCCTGTGATTTTTAACAGCCTGTTCGAGTAAATGAGCTCATTATAAATTAATAGCAAACTGCATTCAAATTTATTTGTTACAAGCAAATTGTCTTACAGTGAAGCTGGAAATGAAGTAAATATATTTAAAATGTTACAGTTATGGAGGTTTGCCTTCCTTAACATTTTAATTTTACAACTAGAAAGGAGCCCATTATTTTGAGAAAATATGGATTTTCTATTTTAGCACAGAGTGGAACACTAGTTCGAATTTTTGTGTTGGTAAAGTAATTTAAAAATCCAATCCAGTGATGCTTGGGTAATTACTTTTGAGCAGATTTTCTAAATTAGCCGTCAGAATTTAAGCTTCAGTTCTAGGAAAATAAATGGAGACTTAAAATCTGTCATAGGAATTACAGACATGTTGTAATCGTACGTTATGGCAGCAACAAAATATTACGAGCACCTGTTTATAATCATCTGGTTTATATGTACTGCTGCAGGGTGGCTGCACTCCACGAGTTTATGCAATGACTTTCTTGGATGTTTCTGAAGGATAATTGCACAGGAGGAGGATGTACAGAGAGTAGGCCCCTTGCACTATATGTGGTACATTCCACTTGTGCCTAATTATTAACTGGGATCTTTAATTGTTCTGAGCTTACACTGCAAAGTGGTTTTTTCCTCCCAGAGTCTGGAAAGAACAATGAAAGAAAAGGCGGTCGATCTCGTTCCCATACTCGCTCACAATCCAGATCTAGCTCAAAATCTCATTCTAGAAGGAAAAGATCACAGTCAAAGCGCAGGTGAGGATCTCTGCTGTTGTATTTTACATTGTTTCCAGTGTTCATATATTAAAATTGCTCACATTGTATGAAATTTCAGTAGTGCTGGAAGTGTGGTTTCCAGCAAATATTACCTTTGTTGGAATTTAGTTAAGAAACGCATTTTGTCAAATTCACAGTTCTTGATGTTTTAACTAATTTTCAGTTTTGTAAGTTGGTTTTCTAGGCAAAGGTGGTCTATTGGTTTTTCTAGGAGTAAATAAATTAGTCTTTATATGGAGATGACAAACTCTTTATTTTTTTCTATTGAGGAGAGGGAACATAGTGGCCAAACTGAAAATACTACTGAAGTTCCAGCCTTTCTTGTTTTCCCAGGGTAGTCCAGGCTTGGGGAGCTCTACCTCACGTGTTAGAGCAGCTCTGCCTCCTGTGCCGGGTGTCCTTGGGACTCCTGGGGATGGGACCCTCCTGTGCCGGGTGTCCTTGGGACTCCTGGGGACGGGACCCTCCTGTGCCTGCTTTTGGACCAGACGTATGTGCACTTTCAGATCCATGTTTTGTATGGTGTCTAAGCTGTAGTCTGTTCTATCTTGTTTTTTCTTAGAGCTTTGTCATTCTGATCTGTGTGTCATTGCTTTGCATTTGATGCAAAGGGAAACTCATAAAGTGAACTTGTTTGGAAGTACCCCAAGAGTCACATCTGGAGGTGCAGTGTGAAAGTGTGTAGTGTGGATCTTCATTGCATGTTCCATGTACGTCGTGTTTGTGTCTTGAGAGAGGAGAAGCAGGCCTGCTTGTGTACCTGTCAAGGCTGTTGGAGAAGGTGCTGTGTTTCAGGGAAGGGAGAAAAGGAACCAGTGTGCATTTATGTGGAAAATCACCAGCAGGCCCAAGTTGGCCTTCCTGTGATAATGAAAGACATTCTAGGAGCAGATAGGAACATAGGATGCTGTTCTGAGTCAGCTGAGTTACACTTTGGGCTATTTACTTACCTGTGTATACTGCTCCATTATTATTTGTTTGCAGTAGGGTTTTCCCGTCTTTCCAAGATCTTCCAGTAGGCCAGTTCCGAGCCCAGTTGACTCTGTAAGGAGTGGACAGTGCATTGGACATGAGCACTGAGGGAGGAGAGCAGATGAGCAGCAGTGACAGACTGGACGCGCAGATTGCTGGGAGGGCGCGCAGGAGGCCGAAGAAGCTGAGCCACAGTACGAGGTCATTTGTCCAAAGAATGAAAAGACCAGTGACTCAAGTCTTAAGAGAGTGCCAGGTTCAAGGCTGGAAAAAACCCGAAACTGATGGTTAAGATCATTTTGCTCTTGATAATGATCTATGGGAAGTTTCATATGCTTTTGGAAATTATGACACAGTTTCACAATTTAACTAAGGTTTTTGTTATTAACTACTCTATATTTGGGTATTTCCACTCTACAAGGGTTAGGTGAGGAGGGTTTTTCAGTCTTAATTGTAATTATTCTTACTCATAGGAATAGTGTCATGTCGATGTACCCCTGTAGCATTTGAAATTGCTAGCTGTTGGTATGTATGTGTGTGTTTTTGGCCAGCATATTCTGCTTTTAAACATGCTTATAGAAGTACAGCCTCAAATAAGTTGTTAAACAAACATAAAAGGGCGCTGTTTCTTTTTAAAGTAAGTTTTGAAAAACAAGTTCCTTATCTAAAAGCCTTGTAGGTAGATAGGCTCTTGGGTTGGAAGAGCCCCTGCTGCTGCAGGCTTGGGAGGGCTTTCTCTCCTCAGCTGGTGGAGGCTGGTGGAGGTTTGTGGAGGCCTGGTGGAGCAGCAGCCTGGTGGAGGTGGCAGCCTGGTGGAGGCTGGTGGAGCCTGGTGGAGGCCTGGTTAAAGGCTGGTGGAGGCCTGGTTGGAGGATGGTGGAGGCCTGGTGGAGCAGTGGCCTGGTGGAGTGACGGCCCAGGAGCACAGGTGGCAGGAGCTGTTTGTAGTTTTTCACTTGCTTCAGATGCTTCTAAAGTTCTGCTTCCCAGTCACGGAAACATCAATACGGCTCTAACACTCACAGTTTGATTTCGTAGTGTTGGATAGTGGAATTGTGGTAACTGAAGGCTGGTAAGGTGGAAGGTGGAAGGTGGAGGTCGGGCAGTGATTTCCAATGTCCAGTTAGTTTGGGGGAGTGTGTTCAGCAGGACAGTTGGGGTGACTGGGGGAGTTGACAGCGACTTATAGTATATTTTATAAAGAACCAGAAGGAAGGAGTTTCAAGGTTCCCAAGCAAAGCAATGATACATGTTTGAGATGGAAATGCTTCCTTCACTTGAGCATTTCATATTGTTTGCATATATCGTATAGAATTATCACAATTGTTCTGTGTCAGTGACAGAACAGGTTATGAGCTGTGCTGCCCCATCCCCACTCTCTCCTGTTCTCCCTGTTCCCTTCCTGACGGTGAGCCAGGGCGAGATTGCTTGTCACTGTGACCTAGGATTGGGGAGATGTATTTCTACTTTGTCGATTTTGATACTTGTTTTATTCAGAGCCACAATGAAAGAAAAGGTGGGTAGTACTGTAATTGTGGTTTTTAAGTTAAGTGACCTTTATGGGCCAGCATAGGAATATAAGACATTTTATGATTTTTTAATGGAAAACAGCTGATTTACAAGTGAACTTTGATGCAACGTGATGGTAAGTTGCTATTTACAGTTTTATCTAAAAATATCTTTCAAATTATTAAAAATTAAAGGTGATAAAGATACATCTTTAGGTAGGTTAGATCTACTTTTGACTGTTAGCATTAATCAGAAACCAGGACATTAGAAATGAGGGAATATTTAAGTTTCAGAAATTCATTACTCAAACAGTGGCTTTTTGTACTCTCAAGACTTGCTGGGTGAGGAGGGAAACTAATGCATTAATGTTTTGCTTGTTTTTTTTTTCATTATTTATAACTGCTGCACTTAATCCTTAAAAATTTTTCTTTGCCTATTTAAGGTTGGAAAGCACCTTTTAAGAAAAAACAAAATAATTGTACTTTTAGTGAGGTTAACCTGAACAGAAATATTATGATGACAGTTTTTATTAAGCATGTTGAAGCAAAGGCATTTTAAAATAAGCCTGACTTCAGCTGGCCCAGCCTTGGGCATTGTGGCCATTGGGAGTGAACTAGTGGACAAAACATCTCTCTTTCTCTCTGTAACTTTGACTTTTAAAATAAGTATACTTGTGGAAGTTCATTGCTTCCTTGGCATTAAATAAGAATGTAAGCTTTATGTTAACTTTAAGTGAGAATGATGATAGTGCAAGTGGAGTTAATAAGCATTTGTTTTGTACCAGATACTGCCGTGCAGTCTCTCAGTCAGGGTCTGATGATAGGCCAAGTCCCTGGACCCCTGCGTCTGCGTGGGAGGCCCGAATGAAGCTCCGGGCTCCTTGCCATTGTGGTCATTTGGGGCCTGAGCCAGCAGAGGGAAAATCTCTCTTCCCTTTTCCTTTCTATGTAATTCTGCCCCCCCCTTTTTTTTTTTTTTTTTTTTTTTTGGAAAGGCCAACTTGAAAGAGGAGGAGGGGAGCGAACTTTCTGTGCTCTGGTTCAGTCTCCGGTGCCTGAAGCAGCCGGCTTGGCCAGGGCTCCGTCTGGTGGGGGCGGGGCGGGGCTCAGTCAGCTTGGCAGGCTTTCTCAGGAGCAGTAGCGGGAAGTTGAATGGGAAGTAGAGCAGCTGGAAATCGATTCACACTCCAGAGTGGGATGCTGGCATTGCAAGGCAGGTTAACCTGCTGTGGTGTAACACTAGTTCTTAGAAAAGTTCTTTAACTAGCTGTGGGTGTCACTATAGGTGTGAAAAGTTATTGCCGTGTAATCTTGGATTATTTTTATCTAGTTTTAGCTCACGTAAAAGGATTTTTGTTTTCCTGTCAAGCTAGCACTGATACTACTACTAATACTGTGCCTACACAATCTTTTTTCTTTTTAGATTTATTTAGTTTCATTTGAAAGGCTGAATTGCAACAGAGAGAATGAGAGATCATCTGTCCTGGGTCATTCCCCAAGTGACTGCCACCGCTGGGGTGTGCCAGTCCTAAGCCAGGAGCTCCTGGGTCATTCCCCAAGTGACTACCACTGCCCGAGATGTGCCAGTCCTAAGCCAGGAGCTCCTGGGTCATTCCCCAAGTTACTACCACCGCCGAGGCTGTGCTAGTCCTAAGCCGGGAGCTCCTGGGTCATTCCCCAAGTTACTACCACCGCTGAGGCTGTGCCAGTCCTAAGCCGGGAGCTCCTGGGTCATTCCCCAAGTTACTACCACCGCCGAGGCTGTGCCAGTCCTAAGCCGGGAGCTCCTGGGTCATTCCCCAAGTGACTACCACTGCCCGGGATGTGCCAGTCCTAAGCCAGGAGCTTGTTTCCAGGCTCTCACATGATTGCAGAGGCCTGAGCACTTTCCCAGGCCTTTAACCAGAAACTAGATTGAAAGTGGAGCAGCTGGGACTTAAAGCAATGCCTTATGGGCTACTGCTGCCACAGGGCAAGGAAGTTTAGTTTGCTACAGTGCCAGCTGCTGTACACTTTTCTTAATATATTTGTAAGGACAAATAACAGAACCTTTTATAGAAACTATTGAATCATCAAAGCACTACTCTGTGAAGATGAATTATAACCAGACTCCTTGCTGATTGAGAGTTAAAAGGCAAGGGGCCTGGCATTGTGGCATAGTTAGTTAAGCTGCCCTCCTTCTGACAGCAGTACTTGAGTCCCATATGGGTGCTGTTTAAAGGGCCAGCTACTCCACTTCTTCTGAGCCAGCTCTCTGCTGATGGTCTGAGAAAGCAGCAAAAAATAGGCCAAGGGCTTAGAATTGTGTATCCACATGGAAGACCCAGAATTAGCTCCTGGCTCCTGGCTCTGGTCTGGCCCAGCTCTGGGCATGTGGCTATCTGGAGAGTGAACTAGTAAATGGGCGATCTTTCTCTATCTCTTACCCCTCTGGCCGTCAGTGTCTGTAACTTTGCCTTTTAGATATATAAAATAGGTCTTAAAAGACGGTTTTTAGCATAAAACATGGAGTACGAGGGAAGCTTTTTGTACTAATGTGAAGCATCTCGTTAATTGTGCCACACGAAGCCGCACCTGCGGATAACAGCGTAGGTCTCGTGCAGTGCATAACTAGAGAAACGTCTGGTAACAAGTAAACTTGAAATTTATAGATTTTGATAAATAGTATTAGGATAGATTTTAAAATTTTCATATTTGAAAGACATCTTCAATTTAAAAATTTTTAAATTTTAAGACTAAGTTTTTTAACAATTTATTTTTCCTTAGGAGTAGATCCCATAATAGATCACGTTCAAGACAGAAAGATCGACGCAGATCTAAGAGCCCACATAAAAAACGCTCTAAGTCAAGGGAGAGGCGCAAGTCCCGGAGTCGGTCACGTTCACGGTGAGTTTTAGGGAAATTACAGAGACTGTTTTCATTGGCTTCGTTTGTTAAAACTCTGTTGTGGTTTAGGTTTTAAATGAGAGAAATAAAACTTTTTTTCTGGTTGTTTTAATAATCTAGGATTAATATTGGTTGCCATTGATTTGAATCTGATGGTCAGTATGATTCATGAGGTTTCCAAACTGCTCCACTCAGCCTGGTAATTGCTTCATTTAGCAGCTTTGTGTACACTTGAGTTGTGTAGAATTTATATGTTATGTCTATAGCCATTCTAAATGATTTAGTGTTGGTGATTGTAAAGGAAAGAGAGGGAGGTCCCAATTGGGTGGGGAAGAATTGCTTTAGTTATTAATTAATTAATTTTTGTTTTTAAAGGGACAAAAGGAAGGATACTCGAGAAAAGATCAAGGAAAAGGAAAGAGTGAAAGATAGAGAAAAGGAAAGGGAAAAAGAGAGAGAGAGAGAGAAGGAACGTGACAAGGAGAAGGAGCGGGGTAAAAACAAAGATAAAGAGAAGGACAGAGAGAAAGAACGGGACAAAGAGCCTGAGAAGGAACAGGACAAAGACAAGGACAGATCCAAAGAGACCGATGAGAAGAGGAAGAAGGAGAAGAAGTCCAGAACACCACCCCGGAGTTACAATGCCTCCAGAAGATCTCGAAGTTCCAGCAGGTTCGATGATGCATAAAATGTGTTCCGGCGGGTTTAGCTGGTGGCGAAAAGATCGTTGTGTGCAAGCTGAGCCAGTGTGGCCAGGTCACAGTGTGCTCCCCTCCTTGTGCTGTTTCCTCTAGCAGAGGGATCGCCACAGTCATGAACATGGGCAGACTTGACAAGTTTTAGCTGCCGTTTGTGGTCTGTTATTTTAACCTGCTAATTCCTGTTCTTTGTTGTGGTTCTCTTTGAGGGTAGAAAGGTAAGGGAGGATTTCTTTTAAAAAAAAAAATTATAGAATTTGATCTCATAAGCTCATTTTTTTCATTCCCTTGATACAATGTTAATATGCAAAATGTGTTCTGATGGTGTGGTGTTTGTCCTTACTGTCATGGGAGGTACTCGTTTGGGAGGAAGAGAGAGGTCATGTGGCATTCCACTCTGCAGATGACCGAAGTGGCTGAGGAGGGAGGGGCCAGAGCCCAGAGCTGCAGCCCAGAGCACAAGCCAGGGCTCCCCTCAGGCTGATAGGAACCCTCTTAATGGAGCCAGAAATCAAACTCAGACACTGAGGGGAGATGCTGGTTTCAGAAACGCTGGATTAAATGCCAAATCCCTCACTGAGAATAGTTTTTAGCCCTTTTGTTGAGTTCATGATATGGATTCTCAGTCTTTGTAAATTTTAATGGTTACTCTTTTCCTCAATATAGTTCCCACTTTATTAAGAGTTACACTGCCACCAGGTGGCAGTAGGTTTCCATAGTAACATTTGCAAAATGAGACCTCTTCATGCAATTGAGATATCTAAGTGTACAACCTTATTCTGGGTGATATTATGACTGTAAATAAATGGAGTTCCTGACTTGTGATAAAATGTCTCTGAAATATATTTGTGTTTTAAAATAAAAAGCAAACGCCTGGCATGGTAGCCTAGTGGCTAGAATCCTCGCCTTGCAGGCGCTGATTTGCATGTCCCAGCTGTCCCACTTCCCATGCAGCTCCCTGCTTGTGGCCTGGGAAAGCAGTGGAGGACGGCCCAAAGCCTTGGGACGCTGCACCCGTGTGGGAGACCTGGAAGCAGCTCCTGGCTCCTGGGTGTTGTTCGGTTTAACTCTGGCTGTTGTGGTCACTTGGGAAGTGAACCAGTGGATGGAAGATCTTTCACTCTGTCTTTCCTTCTTTCTGTAAATCTGCCTTTCCAATAATAAAAAAAAAAATCTTTAAAACAAAAAAGAAGCTGTGTGTGTGTAGAGGGGGTGTATGTGTCTGGAAATATGTCCAGTCTATATTCATGTCTGGTATCAGCCGTTAGTTGGATCAGAAGTAGAACAGCTGGGATCTGAGTTAGTACCCATATAGATGCTGGCATTGTAGCCAGTGGTATTACCTGCTGTGTACCATAGCACCTGCCTTTTTTTTTAAGATTATTTATTTACTTGAATGGCAGACTAACAGATCCTCCATTCAGTGCTTCACTCCACAAATCCTTGCAGTGGCTGGAACTGAGCCAGTCCAAAGCCAGGAGCCTGGAGCTGCTTTTGGGTCTCCTACTTGGGTGTAGGGACCCAGGACTTGGGCTGTCATCTGCTACTTTCCCAATCCATATGCAGGGTTTTGGATTGAAAGAGGAGCAGCTGGGACTAGAACTGGTGCCCATCTGAGATGCTGGCGTTGTAAGCAGAGGATTAGACTGTTGAGCCACTGTGCCACCCCTTATGCCTCCTTTTTAAATATATGTATTTTTAAAAATTATGTAAGAGTCAGAGTTAGGAAGAGACAGAGAGAGGTCTTTCATCCAGTGGTTCACTTCCCAAATGGCTGTAAAAAGGGCTGGGCCTGTCCAATGCAGCTTCTGGATCCCCGGTGTGGGTTCCCACGCACTTGGACCTTCCTGTCTGTCCTGAATTCTATTGGCAGGAGTTGGATTGGAAGTACAGCAGGCAGGACTTGAACCAGCACCCACATGTGGAGGCTTACCCACAGCAGTATCTCCTTTCTTTTTGCAAAATTGGTACTTCAGGGGACAGTGTGGTGGCAGAGAGATGAATCCTGGGCCTCGACACTGGCATCACCTGCGGGCACTGGTTCCTGTCTTAGGTGCTCTGCTTCCAGAGCAGCTCCCTGACAGGGCATGGGAAACCAGCTGAGCATGGGCCACGTCCTTAGGCCCCTACACTCTCACGGGAACCCCAAGGAGGCTACTGGTCCTCACTTTGGATCAGCTCAGCTTGGGCTGTTTGGGGCATGAACTAGTGGATGGAAGAGCTCTCTCTCCTTGTCTCTGTAATTTTGTCTTTGAAAGAAAAATAAAATAAATGTTAAAATTGGCACTTTAATGGTTTGTTCCTAACGTTAGCCTTTGACTAATACTGAAAGATCAAGGATGATAATGGCAGACATTTGCCAGATAATTGTACCTCAGTGTATTTTCCGGCCTCGCATTATTTAATCCTCAGAGTAAACCTGTGTGGAGACTGTTGTTGCCATTTCAAGCATCAGGAAACTGAAGCTTACAGGGAATCTCTCATGTGCTCTGTACTTCAGCTTAAAAGAACTCTGAGAACGAGCATTCACATTGGCTGATTCACCTCCCACATAGCTCCTGGGACCTGGGCAGGAACTGGAAACTCCATCTGAACCCAGCTCTTGGTGCACACTGGTGTGTGTAGCTGGAGCTGAGGGGTTGAACCTCGCTACTCTAACGTGACATCTTAAATGCTGGACTGAAAGTCTGGTCCCTGAGCTGTGCTTGTGTATCCAAAGTTCAGTAGCACTGTTCCATTTTTATCTTCTTTCTTTCTTAAAAGATTTATTTATTTATTTATTTATTTATTTGTTCATTTTTGAAAAACTGGAGTGACAGACAGATGGGAGACCTGCGTTGCGCTGACCCATAGCCTAGGTGCTGTGCTGGCTGAGGCCGGCCCGGGCTGCATCCAAGAGTGTGACTTGCTGTGGGTCTGCCGTGTGGGTGGCCAAGGCCCGAGTACGCTGGCTCTCATTTGCTGCTTTCCAGGTGCATTGACAGGAAGCTGGATCCGAAGTGGGATGGCTGCGATTCAATCCAAGGCCCCCAAGTGACTGTTGAGCCCATTGAGCCATAACCCTTTCCCTCCTCTCCTTTTAGAGGTTTGCGAATTCCTCTAATCACCGTTTGGTACCTACTTTAAAACATTGCCTCAGGAGCAGGCCTGGTGGCACTGGGACTGGAGTGGACTACCTGGGCTCAGTTCCCACGAAGGCTCCTGATTTCTAGTGTTGTGACTGTACGCTCCAGCAGTTAGGAAGCAGTAGCTCCAGTCACTGGGTCCAGCTCCGTGTGGAACGCCAGGTTGGACTTCCTGACTCTGGACTTGCCTAACCTGAGCCTTTGTAGGAATCTGTGGAGTTAGTGCTCACTGTGTTGGTCGGTCTTTCTCCACCTCTAAGATAAAAGCAGAGCAGCAGACTGCTTCAGAAGCAGCGGACTGGCAGCCTTGTTATATTCGTGTGTCTTACTGGGGCTGAGAGATTAGCTCCAGATTCCGGCACATTGGACACACGTGAAGTAATTGAACAGCCTTTGTTTGTATCAGTTGAACCCTTGGAGCCTCCTTGCACTGCGTAGGCATTATTGATTGTGTGTCATGTGTGCCTTTGTGTTTGTGTGATGACCCTTCCTAGTACAAACAGATGTTTTAGTTTTTATTTTAAAGATTTATTTATTTTCATTGGAAAGTCAGATACACAGAAAGGAGAGAGAGAAAGATCTTCCTGCCACTGGTTCATTCCCCAAGTGTCCTCAATGGGTAGAGCCTCTTTTGGGTCTCCCACACGGGTGCAGGGTCCCAAGGTTTTGGGCTGTCCTTACCTGCTTCCCAGGCCACAAGCAGGGAGCTGGAAGGGAGGCGGGCAGCCTGGACACAGACTAGCACCCATATGGGATCCCTGCATGTGCCAGGTTGAAGACTCTAGCCACTGAGCACCAGGCCTGAATGTTTTAATTTTGAATAACTTCATCATGTTTAAATTCTTTTTTTCTGAGCTATTTTATGTCACTTGATCTTTAAGAAAATTCCCTTGCTCACATTTGGTGTTAGGGCTGGAGGAATAGGATAAGCACCATTCATTTCTAAGAGTGTAGCCATTTTCAGTGTTTTATGCTTTCAGAAGAACTTGGTGTGAAGAGTTTGAGTTTTTCGTCTTTTAGCAGTTTTCTGCCTTTCAGACACTCTGGGTTTTGTTTATTACATCAGAAACATTATAACTCCTCAGAACAATAGCCCACTTAATATTTTTATTTCCAGAATGTATCCCCACCTGTATTTTCAATAAAAATTTTGATATTTGAAAACATTTGTGATGTTAGAATTAACACTATTGTTGAGAAAAGTAGGGCCTGTGCCAGGGCTGGGGAGGGAGCCCGTGCCTGGCAGACTCATGCCCGACTGGACCTCCTTGGTGCTCTCATGCCAGGCCTGTAGTGCTTGAGCTGTGTTCATGTCAGATAAAAAGGCTCAGGTTCAATAATGTGATCCTAGCTGTGTATCCAGTAAAATAAAGCACTGGAATTTAAATCTGAGTATAATCAGCTCTACTTGTTCATTGACTCACGGCTTTATTCCTAACTGATAGTCTAGAGTATTATCCAGAGTTAGCTTATTATCATCAGCAGCTGTACTTGTATATCCATCTGTACACCACCAGAGATGATGTTTTGAGCAGTCTGTGCAATTTGTGGTTCATTATTGGGCCTGAGTTCTGAAATGAGGAAATAGGACAGGACAGAACCATAAAGATTGTTATTTTCTGCTGACCTCTAAGGAATAGTAAAAATGCGCTTGAGAGTTCCTTGTCTTTTATATATGTGAATTGCCCCTTATATGGCTGGCTGTTATTTAAAATATGACGTGTTTTTCACTTCCAGGGAAAGACGTAGGAGGAGGAGCAGGAGCTCTTCTAGATCCCCAAGAACATCGAAAACCATAAAAAGGAAGTCTTCCCGGTCTCCCTCCCCGAGGGGGTAAGTTAAGATCATGAGCTGACATGACACTGGAGCAGGTGGAAAATCTACAAAACAAATTCTCGCTTATATTCTGAGTGAATATTCCATTTGCCCCTTTCAGAAATGAAGTCTTAAGAGGTAGATATTCAGTCACCCTCAGCTTCCACTTACATGCTTCTTGTCTGTCCCCAGGCTTTGGTATTATTGTTCATTTTAGTTTTAATTTTTGTTTATTTGAGAAACAAATGAAACTCCTGTATCTGATTCACTCTGCAGACGCCTGCTGTCCTTGGGGCTGGAGGCTAGGGACTCGACCTAAGTGCTGTGTAAATAATTACACTATATGATGTGGGGGAATAACAACAGGGAAAAATGTCTGCATATGTTCTTTGTCAGTGTAGTATTGCCCCCCCCAAATATTTTTTTAAAGGTTTATTTTATTTATTTGAAAGGCAGTTAGAGAGGGAGAGATTGCAAAGCAGAGATTTCCCATTCACTCATCCACTCCCCAGATGCTGCAGTGTTTGGGGCTGGCCAGGGTGCCAGAGGCCAAGAGCTTCTTCCAGGTCTTGCACATGGCTGCAGGGACCAAAGCGCCTGGCGCATCCTCTGCTGCTTTCCCAGGCCACAAGCGGGGAGCTGGATGGGAAGTGAGGCAGCCAGGACATGAGCCAGCGCCCACATGGGTGCCTACACTTACAGGTGGAACATTAGTTTGTTGAGTCACCTTGTTGACCCTAAATTGTATGTCTTTTAAAAAACCAAGTAGGGTAAGATGGGGGTAAGCCAGGGTGTAGGACCCATTTTTTGTCAAAATAGCTTACTAGTGTGTCTGGTACAAGGAATTTTATTTTGTGTTGTTTCAGGGGATGCCCTGTATTGGATAAGGATATTTTGTCAAAACTATGATAAATCTCTTTAAGCTATTAGATGCTGACATGTTATTAATATTCTTGTAGCAGAAATAAGAAGGATAAAAAGAGAGAGAAGGAACGGGACCACATTGGTGAGAGGAGGGAGAGTGAGCACTCCAGCTCTGTGAAAAAGGACTGTAAAGACGGCGAAGGCAAGGAGGACAGCGCTGTGCTCACAGGAAGTGATGTAAGTCAGCCGCCGGGTGCGGCACGGTGGGGAAAGCGCTAAATGGGAACGAACTTTTTAAAACATGATGTTTTTTATAATACAAGCATTATTTTTAAATGTTTATTACAGAGGTCAGGGCATGGTATTGCTGGCCTGTGTGGGGCTCTGGTAGAGGGCGAGGAGGGGTGAGAGAGATGGGTTTGCAGGTGGAGGTGGTTTAGCAGGTATGCCCACTGCCTGGTGTACTGACGTCCCCTCCGGCACCCTGGCAGGCAGGAGGCTGTCCAGGGGCGTGGGCACTGTGGCAGGTGACATGTTCTATCTGTCCTCGCCAGGCCTCTTCCTTCCTCTTTCTGTGTATGTTCATGTTGTTTGTTCAGGGCTGCTTCAAGAGTGTCCACAGGACTAAAATTGCTTGCTGTTTTTGAAAGAAAAAAAGTGTTAAATTGATCAATCTCGTTAAATTTTGAAGATAAGGGAGTAAATTTTAAAAAAGGTTTTTTTAAAGATTTGTTTTTATTAGAAAGACAGAATGGCCACAGTCATTGGAGCTGAGCTGATTTAAAGCCAGAAGCCAGGAGCTTCTTTTGGGTCTTCTCGTGGGTGCAGGGTTCCAAGGCTTTGGGCCATCGTCTGCTACTTGCTGAGTTACAAGCAGGGAGCTAGATGGGAAGTAGAACAGCCAGGACATGAACCGTGCCTTTATGGAATCCCAGCTGAGACAAGGTGTAGAATTAGCTAGTTGAGCCATCGTACTGGGCCCAGCAAATTAAAATTGTGAAAACTGCAGTCCTGGGTCAGAAGAAGTAGCTTACTGGCTGAAGTTCTCTCCTTGCATGCCTTGGGATACCATATAGGTGTCAGTTTGTGTCCAGGCAGCTCCACTTCCCATCCAGTTTCCTGCTTGTGGCCTGGGAAAGCAGCAGAAGATGGCCCAAAGCCTTGGGACCCTGCACTTGCATGGGAGACCCAGAAGCAGCGCCTGGCTCCTAGCTTTGGATCATCTCAGCTCAGGCTGTTGCGGCTACTTTGGGAATGAATCAGCGGGTGGAAGATCGTTTTTGCTGTATCTCCTCTCTGCAGACCCAATTTTCTAATAAAAGTAAATAAATCTTTGTGGGGAGGAAAACAAAAAAAGGAAAAGATGAAGAAACAGAGAAAGATTGATCTTCCATCTGCTGGTTCTTTCTCCTAGCGGCCACAACAGCCATTTCTGAAGTCTGTTCTGGTTTCTCACATGGCTAATAGGGCCCTAGTACTGGCCATGTGCCTTCCCAGGCACAGCAGCAGGTCCACATCGCAAGGAGGGTAGCTGGACTCGCACGGCCTCTCCTATGTGGGATGCAGTGCTGTTGTTGCCAGGGCGACAGTGGTGGTCCCTTGTTCTTTGTTTTTGCGTTTTGGTGTGTATCTTATCTTTTGGAAATACTTGTAATCTCTTCCATTTTTTTCAAGTCTGTCAGTTCTTACAATTTTTTGTTTCCCTCATTTAATTTTATAAGAAGTACAAAGGGGAAGTTTTTACACTACTTGAGTGTTTTTTTTTAATATGAAAACATAATGGGTAGAAAATATTCAGTCTTGTTTCTTCAGAAATGATAGACATTGGAGCTGGGACTGTGGTGTATGTGCCACCTGCAGTATGAGCACTTCATGTGGACTGTGGTTCTAGTCCCTGCGGCTCCACTCCTGGTCCAGCTCCTAGTTCATGCCCCTGGAACAGCAGTGGAGGATGAGCTGAGTGCCTGGGTCCCTGCCCTGGGAGAAGCCACTGGCTTCAGAGCTTGGGCACTAAAGCGGTTTACATCACCATCCTTAATACTACAACCCATAAACATACCCAATCTCTCCCAATACAACATTCCCCTCAACCACCCACCAAAAAATCCAAAACAATATTTCCCAAATAAACAATAACCCATTCCCAAACCAAAACAAAAAAAAAATACAACCCAAACCAAACCACAACCCCACAACCCAAAACCACCCCACCATAAAAACCCAACCCACCATCCCAACCACACAACCCACCACCCCCACACAACAAACCCCAACCACAAACCCCCCCAACAACCCCACCACCCAACCACACACCCCCCCACCCCACCAACACCAAACCCCACCCAACACACACCCCAAACCCCACCAACCCCCCACAACCCAAACCCCCCCACCCACCCACCACAAACACACCAACACCCACCAACAACCCAACCCACCACACACCAACACCACCCAACCCCCAACAACCCCACACAACACCCCACCCACAACACCACACCAACACCCACTACAAAACACAAACCATACCCACCCCACCCCCCATACCCCAACATCAAACCAAACCCCCCCACATATCCACCCCAACTCCCCAACCAACACCCCAAATACCCCTCTTCCAACACTCATTAATCCCAAAGTCGCCCTCTCGCTCAATGGACTGGTTTATGAATTTTGTATCACTTTACTTTTTTTTTTTAAAGCAGTTTCAGTATGTAAAGTTTGATGATGTGCTTGAAATTGGTGGAAATATAAACACACCCCTTGTAAGTGCAAAGTATGTAAGAAGTTTTCGCCTTTACAAGATTTACAGTGATTGTGTTTAATTCTCACTTGTTTTCTTTTGTTCATCATTTAGGACAGCAGTTTTTCTTTAAGATAGTTTTACAGGTTAAAATTGTTTAAGTGGATTAAAAAACAACTGACACTGCATGCTACTGTTCTCTCTGAAAAGAAAGAACCCCCTGTGCTGAATACTAATACGTGTTAGTATTCCGTGTTTGAGTCGTTGGGTCTACCCGCAGAGTGAGCGTTTTCTTTTAAACTTCCTTGACATTTCCAAGCTTACTGCGAGTAGAATTGCAGTGTGTGTTGTCAGCTGTAGGTGGCAAAGGCGTCCTTAGCAAAAGGAAACTGGGTTTTCAAAATGGGCTATGGGAGCACAAGCTGAAGCTTTAGTGCCTTCTACAATGTTTTCTAGAATTTTCTATGTGCTAGTCATCCTGAATTCATATGGAATCTAGGTGGATATTCTGTTCATACCCATAGAGAGGTATGCAAGTCAAGTGTCAGGAGAGCTGCTTACTTAGTTCACCTAATATGAAAAGGAAGTCTTGTTTTCAAGGCTGATTGTTGAGTTTAACAGTACAGTTTTGGGACCATCAATTTTATACTGTGACAATTGAAGCATGCTGTTCTCCCTAAAAGGAACCTTTTTGTGGTCTATGTTGATGTTGAATGACCTTAATGATTACCTCTCAGTTGTCTTCTCTAAATGATGTGCTGACTGAGGGAAGCCTCGTTTACCAGGGAGGTTGTGTGTCCCAGGGTATGTTTCCTTGAGTTTAAAATTCGGGTGGTCCGTCGTAGATAGACTCACCTTTCCCTGACGGTGTGCAAGACGACAGCATTGCAAAGGTTTTTCGTCTCAAAACGTTTAACTTGTGGTTTTTGAATTCTTTTCATTACTGTTATATTTCCAAAAAAAAAAGTAACAGTTTTAATTAGCATGTTATTAAAAAATCAAGTATAATTTTATTTTAATGCAGTCTAATACAATCAAATTACTCAGTTGCCTTACCTCAATGGGAAGAGTTACTTGTACAGATAGAGTTAAAAAGCTGAGTAGCAGGTGGTCACTTGGTTTCACCTTGAATTTTCATGTTAATACTGTTGAGGTTGAAGTCTTTGGTGAAGACTGAAAAGAGTTGCCCCCACCGCGAGTAATGAAGCCTGGTTTGATTATTAAGCTGCTTAATCACTCTTTTTGTGTTCAAAATTACTGTGTGATTTTTTTTTTCCTTTTTGTCAACTGTGTACATTAAAACTTTGGAAAATGCTTTACTATGTAAAGTATAGATGGTCATTTTTATCATTCAACCACATACGGTTGGCTGTAAACAGCTTATTCTGATGTAAGAATGCTGGGTGCATATGGAGAGGACTGTGTAGGATTATGTGTCTTGCATCAATAGCTGTCTTATTTATGATATGGAAGTAGACTAGAGCAAATGTTTGAATCTTTGTTATTTTTAGTACCGTTTCTCTAATAAAGCTAAGTATTTTAGAGGAAAGTATTTGTTTATGCATTTCAAAAAAACAATCAGTTTTCATCCTGCCTTTCTTTTCATTGGCACAGAGATTTTCTGTTTTTTTGCCACAGGGAATGCACGTTTTGTGTGGTGTTTATAAAACTGTTTTCCTCTTCTCTGGGCTCTGTGAAATATCTTTCATGCTGGTCATTAACATGAAATCTGGTTCCTGCTGTTGATATTTAGTCACTGTTAAAGTGATCATGTGAGGCTTGACAGATCCTGACTTGTGAATGGGATCCGAGGATCCTAGGAAGTAAAACCAGCCTCTCCGGGGTTGGATGTTTGACTTGTTCTTAGGGAAGCAAAACTTGGTAGGGTTTTGTATGTTTGTTGTTGACTGGAGCCGATATGTTTTCAGTTGTAGATTTCTTCTCGAGTTACTTTGTTTTAATACAGGTGTTGTCGGGAAAACTTGAGGTGAGGCTCAGCAGACAGCATTTTACGCTTGATACAGATTTTGTTTAGCTAGAATTATGTAAGAGAATTCCTTAAATTGTAGTTGCTATTCATCAGTCTAGAAAAATTCTTTTGGAACTCTCACTCTTGCTTTTCAGCAACCCAGACTAATCCTAGAGGACGGTCCTTCAGAAGCTTGCCCGTCAGTTCCAAGTGTGAAAACGCGTAAATGCTTCACTGTTGGCTTACCCCCTGCTGTGACCCGGGTCCTGTCTAATTAGCTCATGACTGCATGCACCTGTCAGTTGATGACCTTCCCTGGATTAGGGTTCCGTTCTGAAGGGCTTCGGTGTTGGCCATATTCATCAGGAGTGTTGGGGGCTGGCGTTTTGATTTGCTCAATTAAAAGCTGGCATCCATAGTGAGAAAAATTTTTTGATCAAGAAAATAATCTCATTTGTGATGCTAATCATTTTTGGGACTCTGTCATTGTCTATGTATATGTTACTTACCTTTATTTAAAAACTTAAAAAAAAAGGACCCTGACCCAAACACGCTCTCAAATGAAGATAATGTATGTAAGAATTACTGCGTACAATGGCATGCTTTAGTCTACACAGTAACGCCAAGTCAGAATTTGCTTTGATTTCATCGCCTTTGTTTGTCAGATTAGCAGAATTAATCCTTTTGGATTGAAGCATTGAGTACTTTTTTGGTGGTCATTTTCTATTTTCATTAAAAGTATTTGATTTTTAACTAGCTTGGTTGTCAAGTATATCTAGTCTTGTGAAGTAGAAGGATCTTGCATTCCTTGTATGTTTAAATATTTTAAAATTTTTTACTAAGTATTTTCTCATAATTCCCACTCTTATATGTAATAGCCATTTAAATTGTTTAATCTCGAATTTCAAAAGGGATAAAACATATTTCTGGAAGCAGGAATCTGGAGTAATATAAGAATCTCTTAAAATTAACTTCCCTACTTTTTGGGTTTATGGGTGCAAGCTTTTTTTTTTTCTTCGTTTTAAAAGTATACATTTTTATTAGTAACACTGACTAACAACTGATACTATTTTAAAAATAAGCTAAAGCTGTTTGTGAGTTCTGGTCCATATTCACATTCACTTAGATTGGATTTAGTAACCCTTTCACTGCTTTTCATAACTCCTAACAATTTATTTAGAATTGTTACTTTGTGTCTGCTATAACGTTTCTTAAGGTAAAGTCTTTAAACTCAGAGTCTTAATTTGTTGTCTTGTTTTTAAATTTGTATCTGTCTAACAGTATAATTTTGGAAATTGCTAATTTGGGGGCGACTTTTCATTTTACCTCCAAATTTTATTTTTTCAGGACTGAAGTAGTTCCTTCTATGCTTGGGTTTTGTTTGTTAGATACCTTCTTGAGTATGTTTGTAAGTTCAAATTGAAAATCCTACTAGAGGAAGAGATTGTTCGCTACCAGTGTAAGGTAGACAAGCATACTGTTGATGAAGCTCAAGATGATTTCTGATTTCCCCAAGATCTGAGTACACTGTGCAGCTACACCGGTGAATGTGGTAGTAATCTGCCTGCTGAATCCCAGTAGAGAAGTGCTAGGGAGGAAGTGCTGTGGAAGTGCCAAGGGAAGGACCTCCAGTGTAAACACACAGACGCTGCCTAGGCGGATATGTTTGTGAGTAGGATGACTTTTAAAATGGTATTAGTAAAGATTTATTAAACGATGCTGCTATTATGTTGCTATATTTTTAATAAAATGCAAATTTAAAATATTGCCACTGTTGAGTAGTAATTTCACCTATTTCTGGGACATGTGTTTGCGTTTTAAAGTCTTCCATGACTGCAAGGCGGCAGTGTCCTGTCAGTGCTCACAGTTACCTTCCAAATGAATGTCTGCAGTTGGTGCGGCCCTGCTCCGTTACGTGCTGTTGTAATGCTGGTGAGTTTTTTGCACTTCCTCTTGCTTTTAGGTGTGCTGTGATATTTGCACGAGGAACGTTGTCACACATCCTAATAGCCGATACTATGCTTTTGTCCCCTTCTCAGAATCGTATCTGTGTGTGCTCAGGGTTCTCGGTGAGCGGGGACAGCACGTGGGTCCAATGCCCTGATCAAACAGGTGACTCATTTGCTTATATTTGGGAACTTCCCACTAAGATATTTGTTACTGATTTCTAACTTAATTCTACTCTGATTGGAAAACAATCTGTAGGCCAGTGTTAAGGCGTGGCTGGTTGTGCAGCTCTGCGAGGTGCCAGGATCCTGTAATGGAGCACTTGTTTAAGTCCCCTTTGCTCCCCTTACCCAGTTCGCGGCCGATGTGCTTGGGTGCCTTCCGTCCACATGGGAGACCCACATTAAGCTCCTGCCTTCTGGCTTTGGTCTGACTCAGCCCTGTTACGATCATTTTGGGGAGGAAACCGGTTAAAAAAATTTTTTAAGCCCAAAATTTGTATTTGATTCTGAGATTTTCTGAGATTTGCTTTGCGGCTTAACAAATAATTCACTTTGGTAAGTGTTGTACGCTTGAAAAGATTGTGTCTATGTTACTTTTGTAAGACATGCTCTGTCATGTCAGTTAGGTCATGTCATCTGGTAATGGTGTTCAAGTCTGCTGTACCCTGGGAGGTCCTGGGAGCGCTTACTAGATTGGTAGATCTATTTCTTTTAGTTCTTGTTGCTTTATGCATTTTAAAGCTCTGTTCACTGTGTTCATAAATGTCATTGACCGTTTTATCATTGTAAAATTACTCTTTTATTCCTAGTTCTGATATTTGCTATGGATTTTTTTTTTATTAATGCTCATGTTGCAATCGTATTTTTTGTCATAAGTTTGATTTTGTCACCTTAAAAAAATCCTCTACATCAAACTTATTTGTTGTTTTTCATTTAAAGTGTGTTTTTTGTGGTCAGTATATAGATTGTACTGTTGTATCCAGTCTGACAACTTCTGCCTTTTGGTTGACTTGTTTAGCTCAATTATGTTTAATATTATTAGTGATACTATCGAATTTTAATGTACTGCCTTAATTATTTTTCCATCTTTTTTGTTCTTACATTCGTTTATTTACTTTTATTCATTTTTATTTCCTTATGTCTTATTTCATTCTTATGTTTTATATTCATTCTTATATTCAGTGAATGTTTTTAATTTTATCATCTTTCTTACCGTGATAATTTTTCTGTAGAACCTAGACCACATACACCCCTTCCTCTCCATTTTGAAGAATTTTGACCTGTGACCAGCATTGTGACTTAGTTCCACTTCTGATCTAACTCCCTGCTGATGCTCCTGGGGACGCAACAGATGGTGGCCCAGTGCTTGGGCCCTGGCCCCCAGGAGGAATACCTGGCCCGATCCCTACCTCAGTGGGCACTTAAGGAGCAAACCAGCAGATGGAAAATTGATTTCTTTCTCTGTGCCTTTCAAATAAAAAATCTTTAAGAAACATTGTTTTGAATGAAAAGGCAAAGACACACACATATCACACATACGCCAACACGGAGATATGGTCTGTCCGTCCACTGACGAGCTCCTCAAATGCTGCAACAGTCAGCAGTGTCTAGAATTCTGGGTCTCCTGTATAGGTAGCAGGGACTCAGGTAGTTAGGCCTTCGCCTACTGCCTTCTAGCGGGCGGGCATGTTAGCAGCCTTGCATTTGTAATGGTACCATAGTCTGCTTATTAAAAATAACAGTTTATTCATTTATTTGAGAAGCAGGCTTTCAGGAAGGAAATTAGAGACACAGAAATCATGTCCACTGGTTCACTTCTCACATGGCACAACAGCCAGGTCTGGATCAGGCCAAAGCCAGGTGCCAGGAACTCTGTTTGAGTCTCCCACATGGATGGCAGGGGCTATATTCTGCCTTCCCAGGCATATAAGCAGGACACTGGATTGGAAGAGAACCAGCTGGGCCTCTGATAAAGAATGCTAGTGTCCCAAGTGGTGTCTTAACCCACTGTGCTGCAATGCCGCCCTCCCCACCCCAGTATAAATATAATACATATAGTGTGGAGACGTTGCAGTTTCCCAGGTGTGTGATTTTTGTTAAATGTTTAATATAGGTATTAAAAATATCCCCCCTCCTCCTCCCCAACACAACAGTTTTAAAGACATTTATTTCTTCAAATTGTTGGAAAGGGAGAGATGAAGATCTTCGTCTGCTCATTAACTCCCCAGGTGACCACATTGCTGGACTGGGCTTGTCCAGACCCAGGAGCCTGGGTCCGCCTCCGTCTCCCAGGACTTGGGCTGTGTTTTGCTGCTTTCTCAGAAGGAGCAAACATGGCCCAAGGAGCTGGATGGAAGTGGAGCAGCCTGGACTCAACGGGCATCCATATGGGATGTGGACAGTTGCATATGGAAGCTTCATTATGGCATGGTGCCGGCCCCTGGACCCTTTTAAATTTTAAAAGTTTTTCATAGTTATTTGTTAGGCAAATTTATGTAGACAGATGCAGAGAGATCTCCATTTGCTGGTGTGCTTCCCCAGTGGCCTCAATGACTTAAGGCTAGGCCAGGCAGAAGCCAGGAGCCTGTAGCTTCCTTGCTGGTCTCATGTGGCTGCAGGGCCCTAACCATTTGAGCCACATGCTGCTGCTTTCTCAGGCGTGTTATTGGGGAGCTGCATGGGAAATGGGGTGTTAGAGCACAAAGCACCCCCAGGTAGGATGCTGGAGTTCCTAGGCAGCAGCTTTATCTGCACAGTGCTGGCTCTTAAAATGTCTTTTAAAGACATCTTAATGAAGAAAAGGTGTCTTACCTTTGCTCATTGATGTACAGTTTATGATGATCTCCACTCCTTTGTGTAAATTTGTCTATTATCTGAGATTCCTTCTCTTGGTTTACTTCCCAAATGGCTGCAGGGACCAGGTCTGGGCCAGGATGAAGCCTTGAGCCCTGAAGTCCGTCCGGGTATGTCACGTGTTGGTTTAACCTGCTGCCCACAGTGCCCATCCCTGGACTGAGACTTCCAGGGTTGGATGTTGGTGCCTCAGCACATCCTTTAACATTGCTCGCAGGGCAGGTGTTCCGATGAATTCTTTTTACCTTCTGCATACTGAGGAAGTTTGTCTGAAGTACGTATGTTGATACTTTGCTGACTTCAGAATTTTTCATTAACGGTGTGTTTTCTTTGCCCCACTAAGTTCTTTGTTTTCCTTCAAGATGTGTGATGTCATTCTTCCTGTTCCTCTTCTAGCTTTTTCCAGTGGCTACTTTTAAGATATTTTTATTCCCTTTGGGTTTCATAAACTAGACGGTTTTAAATATTTTTTTCTTCACTTGTGTCTCTTACGCTTATTTTTTAGTTTCTTGGGTCTGTCTAGTGGTTTTACTAAATTCAGAAAGTTTCCAACCATAATTTCTTCAAATATGTTTCTTTTCCTTTTTCTACTTTATAGTCTCTAATTATGTGTATATCTGGTTGCTTAAAGTTTTTCCACAATTCATTGCTCTTGTTCATTTTTCTTCAGAGTTTTTCATTATTTCATTTTGGGTAGTTCCATGCTGTAAAACTGAATGTATTATTGCTTGCATAGTTTTATTTGCTGCACTATGAGCAACATTTGGCTCTAACTCAAGCAGACACCTAGACTTGAAGCCATAAGTGAGCAGTACTAAGGGGGTAGAAATTTAACTTAGGTTCTTAGGCTGTTTGGAGTATGCTCTTTGAAGCTGATACTCTGGGATCCCATATGGGCGCCGGTTCTAATCCCAGCAGCCCCGCTTCTCAGCCAGCTCCCTGCTTGTGGCCTGGGAACACAAGCAGGGAGCTGTCAAGGACCGCCCAAAGCCCTGGGACCCTGCACCCGTGTGGGAGACCTGGATGATGCTCCGGGTTCCTGGCTTAAGATTGGCTCAGCTCCAGCCGTTTCAGCCACTTTGGGAATGACTCATCAGGTGGAAGATCTTTCTCTCTGTCTCTTCTCCTCTCTGTATATCTGACTGTCCAATAAAAATACATCTTTTAAAAAAATATTTATTTGAAAGGCAGAGTTACAGAGAGCAAAGGTGGGAGAAAGCTTCCATCTGCTGGTTCATTCCTCAAATGGCTGCAACAGCTGGGACCTGAGCTGTTCTGAAGCCAGGTGTTTCTGCCAGGTTTCCCGCCTGGGTTCAGGAGTTTGAGCACTCGCGCCATCCCCTGCTGCTTTCTCAGGCACAGCAGCAGAGAGCTGGAGTAGAGGTGGAAGAGCTGGGATCTGTAGCTGTGCCGTGTGGATTGACTGCCACTGGTGGCTTTAGCTGCAGGGCTGGCCGGGAGGCTTGCTTTGAACAGGCTGTGTTATGCCTATCTCTTTGCTTCCTCACTTGCCATGGCATCATTCCTGTGCCTTGGTGCTGTGTCAGCATGAACACCAGCGCCAGTGGGGCTGCACGATGTTGAGTGGTGAACTTCCAAAACCGTGAACATACATAAATCTTCATGGGGCGGAGGGAGCTTGCTTAAATAGTAGCTTACGGCAAGGTGACACGCATTCATCTGCTGTTAGCCAGTGTATGTTAAAAAAGAAAAACACTTTGCTTTGCAACTCGAGGAGTTCAATTTAAAGTCAGTTTTACATTTTCTGTGTCTTCATTTTACTTTCAAGTCTGATTTAAAAATTTAAAGTACTATTTGTGAAATGTACTATGTTGGATGCTGAATATTTTTGTATTCTGGGCACTTAAAATTTTTCTTTTTCTTGGAGGATATATTTATTTATTTGGAAGAGTTGCAGAGAGAGAGAAAAGGAGAGACAGAGATCTCCCTCTGCCAGTTCCCTTTGAAGACGGCCACAAGAGGCAGGGCTGGGCCAGAGGCCAGGAGCAGGTACCTCTTGCCGCGCTTCCGTGGGCTGTCTGCTTTTCCCAGGCCATCAGCAAAGGAGCTAAATTGGAAGTGGAGCCCATAAGGGATGGGGACACCAGGCAGCAGTTGTGTACTCCACACTGCTACATCAGATCCCTAAGTGTTTTATTCTGGTGAAAAGCAAGGAGAGAAAGGAGAGACATCTCCTATCATTGGTTCATCTCCCATACATCTGCAAAACATGTGGCTAGGCCAGGCCACATCCAGGAGCTGGGAATGTGGAACTCAGCCTGGGTTTCTTGTGTCGGTGGCAGGGACACAGCCACCTGCACCTTTACTTTCTGCCTTTCTTGGAATGCTTCAACAGAAAGCTGAAATTGGGAGCTGCTTTGGGGCTTGAACCCAGAAACTTTGACCGGGAACATAGGCATCGTAGCACAGACTGTAACTGCAAAATGTTGGCGTGGTGGTGCAGTGGATTAAGGTGGTGCTTGCAAAGCCAGCTTCCCATATTACTGCACTGACTTGTGTCCTGGGTGTTCTACTTCCTGCTAATGCATGTGGGAAAGGAGCAGAAGATGGGATCAGTGCTGTCTGCCTGCCGTGCGTGTGACACACCGGGCTGGAGGTCCTGGCACCTGGCTTTGGCTTTTGGGACCTGTGCATGAAGCACCTCTGTCACTCTACTTTTCAAAAAAAAAAAAAAAAAAATTCAGAATTGCTCCTGGATCCCGTGGGTCTTCTTGAATTCTGTTTTGTGATGTACGTGACTTAACCTGAGAACTAGTTCTTTCAAAATGTAATTTTTAATCTGTATTAGGGAGGGCTGCAGCAACCTTTCCCCATGTCCCATGCTCTGCCCCCCATCTGAGAACTCTGCGCACCTCTCCCCCACCCCCTCAGGCCCGTGGGAAGCAGTTTCTAGCTGAGCTCTGGGTGCTACCCTGAGACCCTGCAGCTGACTTAGTTGTCATTGCCCAGCTGAGCACCAAGGAGCCGGAATGGTCCGCAGGTCTTTGAAGCTCCCTGTGCAGCCCTCTCTGCACCTTGAACTTGGACTACCACGCTCAGCCCGAGTTCCTGCTCCTACTCCTCTAGCCTGTATGCTTGTTCTGGGCAGTAAGCTGGGGCAGGCAGTAGGGCTGATGCGGGATCACTGCTGACCCGCACTGCCTGTCCTCTGTCTGATGGTTGTTTTCCCCCCATCACCCAGGTTTTTCTGTATGTGTGTGTTTCCAGTGGCATGGTAGCCATAATGCCTGTTACTCCGTTTTGGCTAGCAGGGAAGTGAGTTGTACTTGTTAGCCATGCTTCTATGACTTTATGCATTTTGCTGATGCTGTATTGTAACTAACCAAAAAAAAAATATTAGCTGTGTTCTTCCCAGGGCCTTAGAAAGGATTGGTACAACAAGTTAGGGTGTCCTGAGGTTTAAACTGTGTTAACTTCACAGTCATTCCATCTTCTGCTATATTTGAGAAAACAGGGAAGGTGAGGTTACGCTCTTACCAGAAACAACATGGCCAGCCACAATGGTCCCAGAGACCCAGTTCCTCCAGGCAGGACCCTGCCCCCAGCGGCTTCGTGTAAAACCATTGTGGTTCTAGCTGTGTGCTTCTCGGTCAGGCCGCTTGGCATCTGAGGGGTTCCAGTGCATCTAGTGGAGTGTGTGCTTGCACCGTAAAATCACTTCCTAGCACCGCTTCCGGACTCGGTGCCTGCCAGTGTCTTTGGGCTGTATCTAAGCCCTTGGCCAATCGTGTGATGTGAGAACATACTAGCCCCAGCACTTGAGGTTAAACTGAGATGCATTCTAGTTAGAGTCATATGACTTTAGAGCAAATCATGAAACTTCACGATGTTAACTAAACAACATGAAGTAAAACTAAGCGTTGTCAGTCCTGTAAATCCCCTCCCCCAGACACAGGAGAAAATACTGAAATCATCTCCCTCGTCCTCCCCTCTTTCCCATCCTGCCGCTTTCCACCCTAATCGGAGGCCCACAAACCCCCTCACTCATGTCATCAATATTAAAATCATTTTTAAGATTGTCATGTGTAGTGGAAAGAACTAACATTTTGAAGTTATACGGCTAGTCTGTTTGCTTTGAGAACTCTATAGGTTCATGTCAACTTTTTACCCATTTTTAAGCATATTGATGGGCCTGGCACGATAATCTAATGGCTAAAAGTCCTCACTTTGCATCAGTCGGGATCCCATATGGGTGCTGGTTTGTGTCTCGGCAGTCCCACTTCCCATCCAGCTCCCTGCTTGTCATCTGGGAGGACCCAAAGCCTTGGGACCCTGCACTCACATGGGAGACCTGGAAGAAGCTCCTGGCTCCTGGCTTCAGATGGGCTCAGCTCTGGCCATTGTGGCCACTCTGGGAGTGAATCAGCAGACGGAAGCGCTTTCTTTCTGTTTCTCTCTGTATATCTGACTTTGCAATGAAAGCAAATCTTTTAAAAAAAAGATAAGAATATTGTTAACAGTATAGTACAATCAAGTGCAGTATTTATGTAACTTTTCTTTGAATTAAAAAAGGGATTCTGTCAGCCTATCTTAAGAAACTGAAACCCAATGTGGTGGGAGCAGGGCCGTTGCCAGTCCTTGGATTCCTTTGTGTAATTAGGAACAGGTGTTGCCTCTGGGTGGCATAAGCTGATGGGTGCACAGCATGGTCAGTTTGGAGTGCAGGCTCCTTTGTCTATGGGGCAAGGCATCCTGGTGCAGCGAACTGGACACTCAAGGCTCACCGTTGTTGGGAGGTAGGTCAAAGAGTCTCCTTTGGTCCCACCTCTGGCTGGAGAGATAGAGGGATCATTAAGAGAATTGTTGGCTTAAAAAAAAGGATGAGACCCTGAACCCGTGCAAATAAGCTACAGAGGATTGAGAATGTGCAGCCCCCGTCTGTAATTTAGAAATGAAAGGATTTGGAAATCATCTCACTTATACTTTCTGCTCTGATTTTGCAAGGTGAGGAAGCCCAGTGTTAAGGCGGAAGGGAGCAGCCAGGGGGGCCTCTGCAGGCGTGAGCTGGTGGGATCTGAGGGGCGCCCGATGAGCTCACTTTAGGTGGTGGCTTTTACAGGGCTTGGTACTTAGTCACCAGCAACTTCCTTCCAGTATTTAACAATCACTTAAATAAAATTTAAATCATTTCCTTCCACACTGACAATGAGATTGTATTCCATCTTAAAGATCCAGATAAAAATGTTTACGTTCTCTGAATACAGGACTCTCAAACATCATTATTTCTGATATTTGGAAGAATACAGTCTTCCCTTCAATGGAGGTCATGCTGCTGTCTAATAATTCCATTACCCTTGCTCTATCTGATTTAATATAATTAGTGTTCAGAGATATCCTGAAAGGCTGATGTGACCTCATTATCAGTACAAGACTTAAAAGCATTATAGATATTAAATAATCAACAAGAATATCTAACATCACACTAATACAATTTTCTGTTCTTCCTGATCAGGTGGCAAAAGTTTAATGAGCGATTTAATTGATAAACCAAGTTGTCTTCTGGTTTTCTCCAAGTATTGGAATAACATTAGTTCACATGAAATACTAAGGTTGAGAACTTAAACCATCCTCTGCTACTTTCCCAGGCCGTAAGTGGGGAGCTGGATCAGAAGTGGAGTAGCTGGGACACGAACTGGTGCCCATATGGAATGCCAGCACCACAGTAGAGGATTAGTTTGATATGCCACTCTGCCTTCCTCCTTAACATTAATTTATTTCTGTGAAAGAGTTACAGAGTGGCAGGTAGAGCGAGAGAGAGAGAGATCTCCCACCTGCAGCTTCATTTCTCAAATGACTGCAACAGCCAAGGCTGCACCGGGTTGAAACCATGAGGCAGGAGCTTCCTCCAGGTCTCCCATGTGAGTACAGGGACCCAAGCACTCAAGCCATCTTCCATCGCCCTCCCAGGTGCGTTACCACCAAGCTGGATCAGAAGCAGAGTAGCCAGGACTCGAACCAGCACCTGTGTGGAATGCTGTTGTCCTGGGTGACAGCTTAACCCTGCTGAACTGCAGTGCCTGCATCAAGAGATTCATGCAGTCCTTTCCTAGTGTCAAGGCAAAAACACTATGGGCATTAATTACCATGGCCTCTTGTGAGGTTGTGAGTTAAACCTACACAACCTATTCCTCACCTTGGAAAGCTTGTCGACTCTTGGAAAAACAGTGGAAGAGTTACCCATCCCATAAGAACTCATTAATGCATCTTAGTATGCTTGCTCTGCTATAGCCAGTACTTTAAAATGAGTTACTTAGACACACATACGATTCTTGCCTACAGTTGTGGAGGTTCAGAAGTTCAAGGGCCAGGCCCCAGTACACGCCACAGGGCAGGAATGGCTAGGAAGCCCCCATGGATGTCATGGATAAGAGGACCAATCCCATCCTTTAGGGCTCCAGCGACATGTCCTGGTTACCTTCCTCAGGCCCCATCTCTTCGTTGTATTGGGCATTAGGTTTCAAATCCTAATCTTGAGAACACAAATATTTAAAACAGCATGCAGTGCAGAAAACCACCAAGAGTGTGGTTTGTGTGGTGTGGTCAGGAGGAGCCTCGGAAGATGGGACTTGAAGGATGAGAATGAAAGGACATGGGAGAAAGACGGAAGTGGAGCTGAAAGCCAATGGCCTCCCGAGTGGAAAAGAGGTGCACACTTTGCAGGGACTGAGGCACACAGACGGAAGGGAATGCTAGAAACTGAGATGGCTAATATGGACAGTGTGTGGCTTCCAGCCCTCACTGACCTGCCACTATAGAGCTTAAAAAGACACTTGGGACAGGCTTCCTGGCACGAAGGTACACATGTGTACCCAGCTGGGTAGTGGGACTGTTAAGTTGCCTTGTTGAAATAACATCTCAGGATGCTAATGGATTGTGGGAAGGTGAACGAGCTCAAGGTGACACTCAGGCTCAGATTTTGGCTTGGACACTTGGGTGGGAGGTGGTGATAGCAGTGGGATGGCCAAGGCTAGGGTAGGAAATGGAATTTTCTGAGGAGGTAGGGACTGAAAAGAACCAGTTAAAGACACCTTTTTCTTTACAGTCTCCAGAATATGTCCAAGGATTTCTTTGAGCACCGCTGGTGTCCTGTACTTCAGTTCAGGTCTGACACTCCCTGGAGTTAGAGGCAGATCCCATGGCCTCAGAGCTCTGACTCGGCAGAGCTCCCCATTGGAGATGCCAGTCTCCGGTCTCTGGTGGTGAGCTGCGCTCCTGACTGTTCAGCTTTGTGAAGTGCAGGTTTCCTACACCCACTTCTCATGTGCAGCCATGGCTAGAGTGACTCACAGACCTCAGGAAAGTGCCTGCTCCACTCCCACCAGCTGATTGTAAAGGTAGCATGGAGGAC